TAAACAACATCCTAAACCTTTTAAAATAACATACTTTTTTTTAACCTTTAGGAATTTGAAATTGTGTCACTGTGAACGAATGATTTTATATTTAAGAGTGGCTGTTTCATGGTCTAGTTAACATTTTGCACTTGCATATAAGGCCTTAGTTTATTTTCCTACTTAATATTTTAAAAGTTAGAGTCAGCCCGGGTATGCCTGTTTTGTATATGTTGACTTTCCAAAGTATAACAAGGAACCTTGTATACTGTGAAAGTTTTACTGACCAAAGCTTAAAGGAGAGGGCTGATAGCAGTGAGGACTGCAATTCTGGCCTTCCAGGAGAATCCTTAAATGGCTTCAGTTGTAACATTCTTACAATACTTGATACTCTTGAGCTTGCAAATGCCCTACTCACATGATCTCCCATGGTTAGAAATTGAACTCTTTGTAAGCCCTCCGGAATGTACTTTAAGCTCTTCCTGTCACAAGAAAGAAACAGGGGCCATCCTTTAGCCCAGGGTAGTTGAAGACATGTTCTCTTCATTAGTTTGTATTCTTGCTTCTCACATTTCCAGAACTGTTCTTCAGCCCCTTTTTTTCTGTACTTCATAAAAATATAGCATCATATACAGGAGTATTTCACGACATCTAAGAGACTGAAGGACATTAAATGATTTGTGAAGGTATCCTAATACATCTCAATGAATAATGCAAAAAGAATAAGTTCTAGAAATTTTGCCATACTACTTACTGTTAACAGTACTTGTACCATCTACACTTAAGATTTTTTTAAGAGGGTAGATCTAATGTTGAATGTTTTACTACAAAAACTCGCAGCCTTCATATTATTGTTTTATTAGAACCTAAATGTGTGATTTTAATCAGTATGTCTAGTGAAGAAAAAAAACAGCCCACTCATTAGTGTGCTCCTAGAATTAATCTTCCTTCTATTTTTAGTTACCGGTTGTTTGTAAGCCTATTCTCAGACAGCTCAGACTGATCAGAGGCCCTTGGGGTTTACTAGCTACTAACCCCAAATATTTAGCTGATTTGATGCTTACTTGCTTTCACATAATCCTTGGAATGGCGATCCTGTGCAGATGTTCTTTAGTTGTGATGTTTTACTTCTGTATTTGCTGAACATAATGCTACAATGTTAAAGGCATATACAAAAAAAGTATCTGTGCTCTTCTTCAGCTTGGGTAAGTGTAGACAATCAGAGATACACATTATACCTTTGATAATGTCTTTAATTTCTGAAGGAGGAACAGTTGTCAACAGCAGTACTTACAGACCCAAAGAAGCTTTTCTTTGTTCTGTCCTGGGGCTTGAACTCAGGGGTTGGGCACTGGTGCTCTACTACTTGAGCCATAACTCCACTTTCAGCTTTTTGGTAGTTGATTGAACATAACAATCAACATAAGTTGATTGAACATAGACTTTCCTGCCTGGACTAGTGTTGAACTGAAATCCTCATATCCCAGCCTCCTGATTAGCTAGGATTACAGGCAAGAGCCTCTGGCACCCCGCCCTAAAAGGCTTTTAAAGCATGTTAGTATCAGGAACCCTTGCTCAGAAATCTTGATATTCTAATTTAATTGGAATCAGACCTCCTTGGATGGTATTTTATAAAAGCTCTATCTCCAGGTAAATGCAACACACAACAAGGGTTAGGAATTACTGGGAGATTTTCTGGAGAGATAATTCAAATACTGTGTCAGATTGTGACCCCCAAAGTTAAAAGTCATTGGTATAAAGGGAAAGCAGATAATTTTTTTAGAGTACACATTCATTTAGATATGAGGCAGAAGAGCACTGATGTCAGAATAAAAGCTATCATTGGTAGGAAGAGTTAGTGGTGTTCTGGAACCCACTGCTACTGGCATTGTCTGTAGCATTGACAGTTTCATGTTCTGGAGTTGCTAGCTTGAAATTGGCCATGATAGGAATAGTTATGCCATAGAAAAGGCAAATGGTAAAAGAAATGCAAATCAAAGCAATGTTGAGATTTCACCTCACCCCAGTCAGAATGGCTATAATCAAGAACTCTAATTACAACAGATGCTGGAGGGGATGTAGCCAGAAGGGAACCTTACTACATTGATGGTGGGAGTGCAAACTTGTTCAACCACTTTGGAAAGCAGTATGAAAGTACTCAAAAGACTCCACATAGAGCTCCCCTCTGACCCAGCAATCCCACTTCTGGGCATTTACCTAAATGACCACAAACAAGCCCATACTAAAGCTACTAGCACAGCCATGTTCATTGCAGCATTATTTACCATAGCTAAGATGTGGAACCAACCCAGATGCCCCTAAGTAGATAAATGGATCAAGAAAATGTGGTATATATGTGTGTGTATATATATATATATATATATATATATATACACACACACAAACACACACACGCGTGCGCGTACATATACATATATATATATATATATACACACGCATACTATGTACGTACGTACATACATACAATGGAATTCTATGCCTCCATCAGAAAGAATGACATTGTCCCATTTGTTAGGAAATGGAAAGACTTGGAGGAAAAAATTGTATTAAGTGAAGTAAGCCAGGCCCAAAGAAACATAGGTCCTATGGTTTCCCTTATTTGCAATAACTATACATGTGTAGGACAGGCAGAAAAGGCCAAAAGCTATGTACATATGACCATATAAGATGATGTTAAGTGAAATGAACCCCAAGATAGGGACACAAATATCTTTTTCTTTCTTGCTATTGTTTCTATTTATAATGTACCATGTGATTTTTTTTTTTTTTTTTTTGTCGGTTGTGGGGCTTGAACTCTGGGCCTGGGCACTGTCCCTGCACTCTTCAGCTCAAGGCAAGCGCTCTACCACTTGAGCTACAGTGCCACTTCTGGTTTTCTAGTGGTTTATTGGAGATAGGAGTCTCACAGTCTTTCCTGCCCAGGCTGGCTTTGAACCTGGATCCTCAGATCTCAGCCTCCTGAGTAGCTAGGATTACAGGCGTGAGCCACCAGCGCCCAGACGCCATGTGATTTATTTTTGTTGTTGTTGCTTTATATGTTCCACCCCCATGGAATAACCCGTTTTCACTGTATTTGATGTCGGTGCCCGCGTCTTGTATATACACTTCTCTAATTCGGGGAGGGGAAAGGAAAAAACAAAATGCCTAAATAAGAATACAGGTTGACTTATTGTAACAATGAAACATTACAAGACATTATGTTGAAAACTTACAATGTGGGGGGGGGGCAGGTAGTTGGTGGTGGATAGTTGTGGTGGTGGGAGGGAAGGGATGGTAGGGGGAAAACAAAGGAGGAGGCAACAATTCTCAATAGGAAATGTACTCATTATCTTGCTCATGTACCATAACCCCTTTGTACAGCATTTTTACAATAAAAAGTATACAAAAAATGTTTTAAAAAGGCAAATAGTGTTTGTGTATTAAGATGCATAGTAGCAATTGTAGCTGAGGATGAAGTTAAACTGATTTAGTGTGTTAGGTTTGGATGCATAAAATATTAATACAGTTCAAATCATACGTTTATATGCAATCATGCATATTTTTCTATTAGACTTTTTAAACACCTATAATATTCAATTTAATTCATTTTTCAGTTGTAAAAATGCTATTTTCTTTTAAAATATATATTCTAAAAACCTTAAAAACAGAAGAATGTACATAAATGCTAAGTACTGCCAGGTTCAGCTACCTAGATTGAGGGCCTTTGAGTTCTGAAGTCTCTAGATTAGGTTGGGTTTGGTTTCTGTTGGTAGAAGCTGGGTACAATTGCCTGAGCTGTGAATTAGTTGTCTTTATTCATCAGAAGCAGCAGGGAGAGGACATAGAAAAGATCTCCTAATACCTGCAGAGGTGAAGTGTCTTGCCTGTACTCATACCAGTAATATAGAGATAGAACTAGAACCTGGGCCTAGCACTCAGGCCTACCTATGCCCACTCATCTACATATTTTGAATACTAGTTGTGGAATTTAGACTTTCTATAAGTTATGAGATGGGTGAGGCGAATCCCTTGGAAAAAATCATGCTTTTGAAAACTCCGGTGGGGAAGTTCATTAGGACAGCAGACATAGACCATGTGCGAGGAGAACTTGGGGCAAAGATAAACTAACTGGTCATAGAAGAGGAATTTCATGATCAATAGCTTAGAAGTGGTTGACAGTGAGGACAAATGGGAAGTGACTCTAAGATGGAGTAGTTTTGACATGGGCTGGCATGAAAGCAAGGGGAGCAATGGTCCCAGAGAGGTGATTTTGCTGCAGTGGCATATCATGTAGCTCAGGAAGTTATCTATCTGCCTTCCTCAGGTAGGTTTTATAGAGTTGCTTATCAGGAAGTCCTTTTTGACTCTAACAATGCATGAGACCTTCTGCATACATTATGCTTGTATTCCTCTACAGGATAGTAGGCATTGTCCTCCACAACCAGTATGATTTAATACAACTAGAAAAGACCACATCCAAATAATAATAAATAAATAATAATAAATAATTTGGGTGTTGGACCACTTGTCACAGAAACTCTTACTTTAGCAATGCTGTTACCGCTAGCTAGTTGCTTATCACAGAGAAGTGGCAGGTGTGCAGTGAAGGAGTCTTCTGGTTTTGAGAAAGAATTCTATGCATAAAATGCTAGAGCTATTACATCTATCCCTTAACTATAAGGATATATGTTTGACAAAAAAAATAAATTGCTACATTAAAAAAAAGAACATTGGCCAGGTAGTTCATGCTTATAATCCTAACTACTCAGGAAGCAAGATCTGAGGATTGCTGTTCAAAGTCAGCCCGGGCAGGAAAGTCCATGAGACACTCATCTCCAATAAATTACTCAAAAATTTTTTTTTAAAAAAGCTGGAAGTTGAACTTAGGCTTAAGTGATAGAGTGCTAGTCTTGAGCTTGAAAACCTCACAGACTGTGTTTAGACCCAGGATCACTACAAGATGTATTTTTCATATTTTCTGTTATTAACAGAAGTATCTGACATGTGCTAATTTATTACAGGTGCTTTTCAGTGGGAAGAATTGGAAGAAGACATCAGGAAGAAACTGAGAGATTCAGGGGATGTTTCTAATGTAATAGAAAAAGTTAAATGCATTTTAAAAACACCAGGAAAGGTAAATTAATGTGTGCCTCTGAATTATAACTGATATACTGTGATGGATATAATATGAAGTCATTAGAAAAGTTAACTAATGAATAAATATGAGTATTTTCCCTAACCATTTTTTTTCTATTTCAATGTTAAACAAAAACATATGCCATTTTCAGTTAGATTTGAATTTATGTAAGAACTAAAGTATGTGTGAGTCATGTCTTTAAAATGTTGATTTGGTTAACTCCATACTTTGGAATACTCCCCTGGAGCTCTGGGACATACTTCATGTCAGGCCTCAAAGGCCAATTTGTCCAGCTGTAGTTAAGCTTCTTAGAGGGGAAGCTTTCTCTTTCCCTATTGTTAAGTTTCTGTTGCCTTACCTAGTTTTGAGAAGCAAGACAAGTTTCTTTGTATACCTTTTCCAGGTTCTGTGCAATCTGTGTAAACAAGTGGACAGTTGAGGATTTTCTCAAGTACAGGTTCACTATTATAAACTGGGTTTAAGGTTATAAAACTATGGACTTTGTATATAACCGGAATTATATGCACACTAAAACTCCAGTACCTTAGATTGCATGGACTCAGGAAGGGCTTTAAAAGTAGATTTGCTAAATTTTAAGACAACTACATTATACAAGTTAGCCAGCATATTCTTATTTCAAATTCTGTGATAAGCAAATTGGCCGTAGTAAATCAAAGGGTAAATTATGAGCATTGTGTAAGTTTGCATTAAGAAAAAATAGATATAAGAAAAAATGTTTTCTGTTGATTTTTTTATATACATGACTTTCTCTTTTCTACAACCTGAGTTACAAACTATGTTGGTAGTTACAGAGTCTATCCTAGCTACTCAGGAGGTTAAGATCTGAGGATCACATTTTGTACCTACCTTGGGCAGATAAATCCACCACCAGACTCTCTTACCTCCCACGAACCAGCAAGAAGTTAGAAATGAAGGTATGGCTTAAGTGGTAGAGCACTAGCCATGTGTAGATAAAGCCTTATGAGGGAACAACTCCCTGAGTTCAAGCCTCAGTACTGGCACCAATAAAATAAGCTACACTCATTTTAGTGAATATTTTTGACTACTGAAGACAAATGATTGAGAAAAAATTCAACTAATGTAGTATTAAGAGGCAAGGTCTTTGTTTTAAAAAAATTAAACAACAAAACAAGCATACCGAAGCTGTGTAGACTTAAAGAAAAATTAAATTGCTACGTACAGAATTGCTGGTGGGATAGTAGCTTCTTACAGCCTAATTCAAATAAATGATTCTTTCGTCAAAATGTGTTCATATATCTACATCATTTAAAAAATCATTATAAAGATGATGTACAGAAGGTTATAGTTACATAAGTAAGGCCATGAGTATATTTCTTTTTGAACAGTGTTATCCCCTGTCTCGTTTTCACCCATCCCCCCCACTCCCCTACCCCCTAAGTTGTGAAATTCATATCTCATTTATGGACCAGTGAAATGCATATCATGTCCCTGTGTTCTACCAAACTCCTATACACCTCTTTTTGTTTTCAAATACAAATGAGGGAATCTGCAAAATTCATGTTTATTCTCTTTCTCTCCCCATATATCTAGAGAGAGTTAGAACACATATATACATTTATACATAGTGCATTTCTACATAATATTCACATTATGTAAATTCGTCACCTTCACACAACCAGCAACAGCACAGTATTGCTTTCATTCTGAACCTGTCCTTGAGTATGATTCTACACACAGGCCTTTGCATATTGAGAGTAGCATGAATTCCCACTGGGAAATAGGTATGTGACTCTGTGATGTTGATATAAAAGAGTTCCCCTTTCCCCTCCTCCGTGCTTTCTTAGTCTTAAGGTTGCTCCCATTCACGGAGTACAATGTAGGAATGTAACCCTGAATTGGGCCTCAGGAAGTATGGATTTAAACTGTGAGTCTGCCACAGATTATTTGTGTGGCTTTGAGCAGTTTATGGATTTCTTGACAATGAGGATAAACTAGATGGTTCTAAAGCCCCTGCTAACTCTCCAGTTCTGTGATACAGCTTGGCTGTCCTTTATGTATGATGCTTGCATCTTGTAGCCAGTTTTTTGTAGGTGATAAAACATGATGTTTATAGCAGAATGTATGGGACCAGGATCTGTGTGGTATTACTTTGCCTCTGTCTTGCTCATGGATACCATCCTGGAGTCAGTTTTTATTTCTTTTGAGGAAGGATAGTATCATTTTCTCTTTACCAAAGATTAAAAACTTCCTTCCAAGGTAAACTAATCCAGAGTATGGGGTATGTATCATTTATTCTTCTACTGCGGAAATCCATGTGTGATTTCTGAAGGTAAAGTTTTCTGATTTCCTTAGCTGGCCAAGCAGAGGGACTTCTCATGAGGGCTGATTTTCTGAGATTCAGTCAGGAAAATGGATGGGACAGTCAGAAACAAATAATAGTATTTCAATAAAAATAACTGTGTCATTTCAAATGAGAAGGTCCAGTAACACAACAGACAATTGCAGGCCTGATGAATCTTATTATTTTCTGTTGGTACTAGAGCTTGACACTATCCTTGAGCTTTTTTATTTTTTATTTTTCATTTTTTTCACCTCAAGACTAGCACTATATTAATTGAGCTAGAGCTCCACTTCCAGCTTTTTGGTGGTTATTGGTGATGAAGCTCATGGACTTTACTGCCTAGCTTGGTTTCAAGCCACAATACTCAGATCTCAGTCTCCTGAGTAGCTAGGACTATAGGCATAAGCAACCATCACCCAGCCTCAAATTGAATTTTTTATATACTTCCTCTTGTTTTACCTCTTTTTTCTGTTTCTCTCTCTCTTCTCTCCTTTATCCCTCCTCCTCCTCCTCTTTTTTTTTTGTTTTTTTGAGATTGGATTCCACTATGTAGCTCAGGCTGGCCTTGACTTTGCAATCCTCCTGCTTCCTTTCTGTGAGTTCTAGATTACTGATTTGTAATAACACATCTAGCCATCTGTATACCTTCTTTCTTGCTTTTCTTTGTTGATTGTGAGGCTTGAACTCTGGGCCTGAGCGCTGTCCCTCAGCTCTTCAGCTCAAGACTAACACTCTACCACTTTGAGCCACAGCACCACTTCCGGTTTTCTGGTGGTTAATTGGAGATAAGAATCTCATGGACTTTCCACCCCAGGCTGGCTTTGAACCACAATCCTCTGATCTCAGCCTACTCAGTAGCTAGGATTGCAAGCATGAGCCACTAGTGCTTGGCTCTGTGTACGTTCTTAATGACCAAATTAGACTGTATGTGGAAATATATTTCACTGGGTCTTCATATCAGTTTGAACTACTGCCCCATTTCCTGTCCATGACTCTCAGGAAGTCAGGATCCTGTTGATTCTTGGCTGTAGAGTCGAGTTTCCATGCAGTCAGCGCCTGCACTGCTGTGATGGCTGAGTCCTGTGTTGCTCAGGCAGCAGCTGTAGTGCTGTGATCATGATGTCCTTGAGTAGGTCATCATTGTTTCGTTATTCAGTTTTCTAGTTCTCAGACCACCATATATGTGTTATCAAAGCACACTGAGGAGCCTTTTCTTTTCTTAGTTATATTTATTTTGCTTACAGATCAATTGCCTAAGGAACTGTAAAACCTACCAAGCCAGGAAACCTTTGTGGTTTTATAACACTTCCCTGAAGTTTTTCCTTAATAAACCAATGCTTGCTGATGTTGTCTTCGAAATACAAGGTATGGCTCAGCTTTTACAAAGTTCATTATACATTTTATTGGCTGTTTGCTTTCCTTACTTTTTACTTCCAGTTCAGATAATTTGGGATGAAGGAATGACTGTTCTCTTTTATAAGACATAGATTCATAACAGATGACTATCAACAGAATCTTTTGGGGAAATGAAGTCTTTTTAAAAAAATATTAAAAATATTTTCTTTAATACTTTCCCCCTTATTGTTTACTCCATTGTTTATTTCTAAGGGTTGGATAATCTGTAGTAGATAACATTTTTCAGTTTGTATATTTAAGATCCTAGTTTTTCATTCATCTGAAACCAATTCTCTTTAAGATTGTACTACTTTTATTCTGTTTTATTCAGCTTTCTTTTTGCTGCTTGGCCTATCAGGCAACCACAGATAGTTATCACTAGAGTAACTGGAAGTTGCTTCTTGCTTCTGTGGGAAAGAAATGCTACCTAATTTTAATAAAGATGAGCACTTTGAATGCCCAATACTGATGACTCACATGGATAACTTTATCTCTCTTTAATGGATTAAAAGCATAATCTTAAAGATAAGTTAATTGTCAGATAGCTTCAGTTATTTGCAGATGGAAGCTGCTTCCAAAAAAGTGGAATCTTAAGTAGATTGTCATGAAGAGGAAGATGTCATTTTTCATAATGGAAATATAGGTGCCCATGGTTTATGCTTGTAAGCTTAGCTGTTCAGGTGGTTGATATCTTAGGATCAAGATTCAAAGCCATCCTGAACAGGAAAGTCTGGGATTCTTTTTTTTCTTTTTGGTCGGTTGTGGGGCCTGAACTCTGCGCCTAGGCACTGTCCCTCAGCTTTTTAGCTCAAGGCTAGCACTCTACTACTTGAGCCACAGTGCCACCTCCAGCTTTTTTCTGCTTATGTGGTTCTGAGGAACTGAACCCAGGGCTTCATGCATGCAAGGCAAGCACTCTACCACTGAGCCACCTTCCCAGTTCCATGTCTGGGATTCTGAACTCCAGTTAACCATCAGCCATAACTAGAGCGGTGGCTTAAGTGGTGGTACTCTAGCCTTGAGCAAAATAGATCAGGGGCAGTGCCCAGGCCCTAAGTTCAAGCCCCAGGACTGGCACACACATACACACAAAATTGTAATTTTCTTTTAAAAGTCTTCCCCTAAATTCATTTTAGTTTAATCTTTGATCATTTGCCAAAGTAAACAATGCATTGGAAACTTTCCAGGGTAAAGTTCAAAGCTTTACAGGCAGGGTGTGGTAACCTTCATCTATAATATTAGCTACACTGGAGATGGAGCTATAAGTAAGAGGATCATGAACTGAGGCTGGCTAGGCTAAAAAAATATGTGACCTCTCCAAAATAAATAAATAAGATGTTGAGAATAACGTAGCTCTACCACTTGGGCTACTTTGTAATTGCCTAGCAATTACAAGGCCCTGAGTTCTAATCTCAGTACCATACATACACACCAACTACTGTCAGTTGCACTGTATGCAATGTTAGCCTGAGACACTAAAAATGGGACAATAAGAGTAACCTTGAGAAACATAAAAAAATGGGGTGTGGGCAAAGAATACTCAGACTTTCTATAACCTTTCATTATTTTAGAGAAACTTGAAACCAACCTTGACTAAACCTCTAGTATTATTATACCTTGATTTTTTAGTATCTAAAATAAAAATTCAAAGTGTAGGGCTAGGAAGGTGGCTCAATAGTAGAGTGCATGAAGCCTTGGGTTCGATTCCTCAGCACCACATAAACAGAAAAAGCCTGAAGTGGGCGCTGTGGCTCAAGTGGTAGAGCGCTAGCCTTGAGCTGAAGAGCTGAGGGACAGTGCTCAGGCCCAGAGTTCAAGCCCCACAACTGACAAAAAAAATAATAATTAAATACTTTTTGGAGAGAAGAAATAGCAACCCTGTGTTCCAAAAGGTGATTGGTGTCACTGGAGGTGGGTGAGGGCTCTTTTCTAAGCAACTGTCTGTGGGACACTAAGGGTCTGCCCTTGAGCCACATTTGTATTTAAGATGGACTCATGGTGAACCAACTTCAAACGGGCAGACTCCAGATGAGGATAAGTGCAGATCAGCCATTATAGGGGCCATTTCATAACTTAGGGTGTGTTTTCATCAGGAAAAGGAGTGGAACCTTGAGGTTATGTGCAAAATAGCCTCCGGTACTGTTCCATCCAGGCCATGGTCAGTTCTGATAACTCTCTGCCACCCTGCTGTGGAACAGAGCATGTATATCAGCCACATCCAACATCTCTGACTTCTCTGGATGATGCTCTGCTACTGGTCTTATGGCTACTACTCACACAGTATTTGATACAAATCATGAAGAATATAGTTGATTAGCTATTCACTTATGTCATGGCCAAGTTCTAGTCCTTTGGTGAAAGCAATAGTGTCTGTGTCTTCTTCCTTCTTTCTTCCTCCTCCTCCTCCTCCTCCTCCTTTCTCCTTCCTCCCTTCTCGTTTTCCTTCTCCTCCTCCTCTTCCTCCTCCCCTTCCTCCTCCTCCTCCTCTTCTTCCTCCTCCTTCTCTTCCTCCTCCTCCTCCTTTGTAATAGGTCTAGATTGGGGGTTTGGATGTATCCAAACCTCTCAGTCATCTACTTGAAGACAGACTCTTGGAATTCTTTTCCAAATGAGTAATCTTACCTCCATGTATATGTTTTAGAAGTTTTGCTGGAAAAAGAAGCCATAATTGGAGTTTCAGAGCACACGTACAGTTACTATCAAATAACAATCTGTGTTGTTACATCACTGGGTCCCATACAGTCCCCAGAACAGTGACCTACTTTTAGTAATTGGCTTTGGTAATGCCGAAGTTGGTCATCAACACTCAGAACACAAATGCTCTTCACGAAGACTTTGCATGGTAATGAATCTATCACAGGAGGAAGAGTTGTCTCTTTGCCAAGAATGTTAATTGTGTAACTCAGTGTGAGAGCAATTTCTGAAGTAAATTGAATATGAATTATGGCCCTATCATAGATTAATGAATTATGGATTATCTCCCATCCCCCACCTTTTATCTTTTGCTTTTCGACAGCATAGTCATCAAATTTGCATAGCAGAAATGAATGTCTGTGTGTAATTAGTATAGAAAGCATTGATACCCAACATGTCAGTTTAATCTGCTGAAGAGATTTTCAAAGGGAATATGCAACCCATGTAAATACATGTTATAGTAAGAGAAAATGGAGAATCCTTTCTCCTTACTTTTCTTCTCTCTTGCCTTTCTTCTTGATTTGACCTACTGGCCCTTTTTTTGATACCTGCTTATATTACTCCTTCCACCCATGTCCTACTACACAGGGGCTGGGGATAGGAAGGGCAAGTTGCTTGCCTGTGCTGATAATGTGAAGTGACTGCTGTGGTATGTTGTGTAACTCACTAGTTTAAGACCCAAAGCCTTTTAGAGAGTGGGGAGCAGAGAGGAGCAGGAATGGATGCAACAGGGTCTGGCAATCACTTTTGTGCATCTCTGGAAGCAAGAATAGGAAAATATATGTAAAGGAGTTCAGTAGAGGACTGAACGTTGGGGGTCTTTGACTTTGCATCATTTTGTATGTCCTTGGGTGAGTCATTGACCTGTACAGTCTTCCTATCATATCATCTAATCAAGGAAGGTGAACCACAGATTCTAGAAGGGTCTTGTTAGTATTGAGAGTTGCATAACTCACTAATAGCTATCTTTCTCTATTCTTGCTGCACTTGTATGATGATAGCTTTGAGAATACTAAGAAACTTTGAGTTAGAATTAGTTGAGTGAATTAAAATATGTGTCCATCATCCCACCTACAGGTGTGAATTCACCAGTGTGGGCCTGGTGGCAGCATACTTAGTTTACTCTAATACATTTCTGGAATCCTTCCAAAATTTAGAGAAAGAAGCAAAACAAAGGGCACCAACAAAATTGAGAGGCATTCTAAACCAGGAAAATGGCAGAGGAAATAATCTCTTCTTATTATGAAAATCATATGATTTGTTATAGACCAGTTTTCACAGAATAGCCTCATTGATAGAAAATATGCCTGTTTTATTCAAAGATGTATAAAAAGGGGGGGGCCTGGTAATAGAGACCATATTGTGAATTGTGGTTATCTTTAGAATGAGAATAGTGTTGATTAGAAAAAATGTTATAGATTCTTATTGAAAGATACTCAATACATAAAGATGCAAAAAATAAATAAATAAAATGACTCATAAGACAATACACAGTGACACCCAAATGTTTGATTTGAGTATATTTGTTATTTTCCTCTGCTTAAAGCAGAAGACCAGGCAATAAATACAATCTTTCAAATTTTATATCCTTTATTTAAAATGTGTATCATATACATTTTTTGTTTTTGTTGGTCATAGGGCGTGAACTCTGGGCCTGGGCACTTTCCCTCAGCTCTTCAGCTCAAGGCTAGTGCTCTACCACTCGAGCCACAGCACCTCTTCTGGCTTTTTCTGCTGATGTGGTGCTAAGAAATCAAACCCAGGGCTTCATGCATGCGAGGCAAGCACTCTACTACTGAGCCACTTTCCCAGCCCATATATACATTTTTTATAATCTTAAAAACCTCAACATTTTAAATGTCTTTTTATATGGTTATATCTTTTTTATGCTAGAGATAAAAACTTAGGTGTTTACTACATTTTCACTATTAAAATAACAACAACTGCATTGAAAAATTCAGTGTAAGTATCTAACTCTGAAATTAAGATTATTTGCTTGATGTTAAATCCTTAGTCAAAGAATATAAATATTTTAATATCCAAAGTTTATTATATTGTATATGTTCACATAAGACTGAGAACAATTTGCATTTCTATTGGCTGTATGTGGAGAGTGCTTGTTTCAACCTATCTATAGCATTAAGTGTGTTTGTATCTTATTTTTTTCTTATATAACTGATACAGCTTTAAAAAGATTTGAATCTAGACATGAAGCTGAAATTGTGCAAATCAAAAGGCAAATCTGTTCTGGTTTATTAAACATTTTGGTAATGAGAAATTTATATACATTATTGATAGTATCTCATGAATAATACAGTAGTACTGAGTGATGGCGGCAACTGTACCAGAGACCACTGCTATAAAGATCAATAATACAGTAGTACTGAGTGATGGCGGCAACTGTACCAGAGACCACTGCTATAAAGATCAATAATACAGTAGTACTGAGTGATGGCGGCAACTGTACCAGAGACCACAGCTATAAAGATCAAGTCTTTAAGCAACACTGGTGTGCTCCTGCTCTTGCTTTTGCAGCAGTTGCCTGACATTCTGGTTTGTTACTCATACCCTACCTTGTCCAGCGATGGTGAGGCAGAAATTTGTACCTTTCTAACTCCAAAGTAGGTAAGACACCTGGTTAGTGCGGCCAGGGAAACTAGATTGATTTCAGAGTGGCATAGTCATAGCTATTGTTCCTTTTTAAAAGACAGCTTAATATTCTTATCATTCTCTGGAAATGATTTGCTTTATAAGGTCATATTAATACATCTCAGTGTAACAACATTTGGGCCTGTGGTTTCTGATTGTAGTTATGAACAGACAGCCAAATATTAATTTCACTTTGAAAAACTAATGTCCTTTTTTTGTGAATGGAACCAGCTGTTTTTTTTGGTGTGAATGTATCTCCTCATGATCCATTTATTAATTTAAATGTTTTATACCCCAAATGGGGGCATTTTTTATATTTTAAACCAATTTGTAGTAAGCTTTAAGAATAATGTTGGTAAACCAATTTGTAGTAAGCTTTAAGAATAATGGTTGGATAATAACCCATCTCAAATCTTCATTATAAATAGTTTTAATATATTATAGTGAAGTTTTAGATATTCTTACATTTTTTTCTTATCAGTTCTACAGTTTGAACTCAGGGCCTTGTGCCTGTGAGACAATTGTTCTGTCACTGCTTGCAGTTTTTGTGTCTGTACATTAAAATTATTTACTTTAATGTCTTCTCCTCACATAATAATAGTAAATTTTAAGACACATGCAATAAGTGTTCAACTTCTTCACTCCAATTTGGAGTATGAACATCACTCAGCCTCCTAAGAGACTTAAGAAACCTAAGTGAGAATAAAATCTATGTAACAATTTAGGGGAGCCAGCATACCAGTTTGCCTTGATGGGGTGTACCCATATAGACCAGAAAGACCTGGCTGGGATCTTTGCTCAAATTTGGTGGTTTCACTTTATATTTCTGTTCCTTTAAGATTTACCTCCAAATACCAGTGGAATTTGATAAGTGACCTTGAAAACTTCAAATACAGTGGAAAAGTGACTTCGAAATTTTAGCAGTCATAATTTGGAACACCTTTGCTTTCCTACTTATGAGATAGGAATTTTAACTTCTCCCCATGGAGAAGGACACATGAATGATGAGCAGAGGCCTGACTTTACTGCTCTTCTCTCAGTGGCAGCCAGCATGGTTGGGTCTTGGTACATTTTCCTTTGAATCCAGGTGCCACAGTGAGCTTTTTTTTAGAATGTTCCAGCTGTCACCAGCTTCTGGAGTTGACATGGAATGTAAAACTCTGACATGGATACTGTCTCCATAATAGGTGACCATTGCTATTTATTTGCTTTAAAAAAATTACTACAATAGTTCTAAAGTTAGTCTTGGAAATATTTAGGCATGATGTAGAAAGATAGGAATTTCCTTTTAACATTTAAACCTGTGTCATGTGAAAAGTACCTTTACAAATGTACATTCCTTTCCTGTTAACTTACATTGAATATATTCTAAACCTCTCAAATTAAGCAAGTATCCTTTTTTTTTTTTTTAAGAATGAAACCAAATACAATCTAAATATTTGGGTTTCAAAACCTAGATAGTAGTATGCAAAAGGAAAACTATGCTATTGTATTTTAATATGTGAAGAAAACAGATATTTGATTATATAAAGTGACAAGAACATTTGAGTCTTTAAATTTGTTTGGCATTCAAGGCTTTAACACTTGCAAGATAGGCCCTCTACCATGTAAGCCATTCTTCTAGTCATTTTGGGGGTTGATTATTCTCAAGATCAGGCCTCACTTTATACCCAGACTGGTCTGGGCTGTGATTCTTCTCTTTGTGCTTCTCTGCATCACTGAGATGACAGCTACATGCCACTGAGCCAAGCCATTGTGATTCTGCTGTGGCTAGCTAACAGGTATGCACCATGTTGTCCAGGCATTGAGTAAAAAGGAATCTTGCCATTTTTTTGTATCCAGGCTGGCTTTGAACTCCATCTGGTCAGTTGCCCACAAATAGCTAGGATAACAGGCTTAAGCCAATATATTTGGCTTATTTTGTTTCTTACTATTCCTTTACCTTAGAAAAGAAGTTTCTTAAGCTGTGATATCACAGGAACAGCATAAAAAAAGAGATAGTTTGGCCTTGACATTTTCAAAGAACATGTTTATCTTTTGAAAAGAAAATTGGCATTTTTTCCCTATAAGTAATCCTTCACTTGCATCCAATTGCCAATCAGGCATAAACACTAGTTTTGTCCTTCTATGATATCTTTTTATATACAGTATTAAAAATGGAACCATACTTGTGTATTGTGCTACATAATCATAAGACACCACTTTCTAAAACAGTTGTTCAGAGACCTGAGTAACAAAAAGTTGATGTTGTCTTCGTGGGCAGCCTAATGGTTTTTCACATTAATTTCCAAGCTCAAAATGATTTTTAAAATGCTTGACTGTTTCAGGTATTTTGTTGCTGGTTTTGTAACTCTGTTGTAACCTTATCAATGGAAATGTCTGTTAAAATTTCCAGTCTTATTTAGGAAATTCATCCCTATCTGCTGTTCATTTGTATTTTTAGTCACTTAAATCCCTCTGCTTAACTCAAATGATACATCATCCAATTTGTTTAAGCTATGTATATAAATTTTCCTGGCTCTTTTGAAAGATAGCTTATTCATCTTAGAAAATTTTGGACCTTAAAATTACAAGCCAGGTGGGGGGGCTGGAGGAGGATGGGAAGGGATGGGAAGGGGAAACAAAGGAGGAGGCTACAATGCTTGATAAGAAATGTACTCATTATCTTGCCCATGTAATTGTAACCCCTCTGTACAGTATTTTCACAATAAAAAATATTAACAAAAAAAATTACAAGCCAAACTTCATTACCGGTTTTAATTTCTTGTCAATTGCTGGCTATAAATATACCCAGCATGCTTTAACTATGGAATTCAGTCAGTCCTCTTGGTGGGCAAAACTGTCACATTGCTACTGGTAGGTGGTGTTTATGGGGCAGGGGTAAAGTGATTCCTGAAACTGCTTTCTTGTTTCTGGGGGAGGTGTCGCTGTGCAAACCACAGTGCCAACCACTGGGCTCCACTGGCAATATTATGGGTTGCCTGTGGTTCCTGAGAGAGATGACTAGCTTGGGACAAAGCCACTGTGCTTACATGGAGCTCTTTGATTCCTCACTGAGTCAAAAGGTGTTTTGCTTGTATTTAAGGGAATGAAGAACCCAATTGTAAATATTTTAGAGAAGAACATATATTATGGTAAGTATGAGATTTTTATGGCTATGTAGGTGAATTCTTGGGCAGAGGAGAGTGCTTTGGCTCATAGCATTACTTTCTGGAAGGAGGCAGCTTAGTCATCCACTAGCAGTGAGGTCTTCACTAACTAAAACCATTGTACCAAAGTAAGAATAGCTTTGACTTCCTAACTTTTGTGTCTTCAATTCCAAACACAATGATTGGCACATGGTTGTTGCTTGAATATGACTTATGAATGTAATAGAGGCTGAACTGAAGGCTAGCAGTATGGACACCTGGTCTCCTTCAGTGATAGTAACAACTACTTTACCACTTTGTGAGTCCCAGGCCACTTATACCCCCTTTCTGGTGCTGCCTTTGTGTGGTAGAGCTACAGCTGGAGAGCTAAGCAAGCTTGCTCTATCAGTTCAGTTTAATGAGCTAATAAGCTTCAGTGTGGGGTATGGGCTGAGATGGCCTGACTGTTCAACAAGAAGTAATTGCTCATATAGAAGAGTAGAAAAGAGTGGCTTCCTGGGGAATTGTTTTCTGGAAAGACAGAAGAGGTCACCTTATTCCAATTTAAAAAAAAATTTTTTTTTGTCTGTTGTGGGGCTTGAACTCTAGACCTGGGCACTGTCCCTGAGCTCTTCAGCTCAAGGCTAGTGCTCTACTTCTTGAGCCACAGTGCCACTTCCGGTTTTCTGAGTGGTTTATTGGAGATAAGAGTCTCACAGACTTTCCTGCCTGGGCTGGCTTTGAACCGAGGTCCTCGGATCTCAGCCTTCTGAGTAGCTAGGATTATGGGTGTGAGCCACCGGCGCCCTGCTCATACCAAATTTTCATAAGTTCTTAAGTGCTTTCTTTGATTCCACAAGAGATGCGTTTGACATGCCTACTGTAAGGTATGGACTGTTTGTGGTTTACTTGTTACAGTTTCCTCTTTCTAATAAGAGGAGGAAGCTTGGCTAAGTGTTTTGTGCAAGTTTGCCAAGAAGGGGAATGGAGTTGTTTTCTTGGGAGGATTCCGGGGTGCTATTTCAAGCCAGTCAGAAAGTTCTAATATATTGTTCTACTAGAAGTATAAAGCAACAAATGTCATTTCCATGTTTCTCTCTTGAGAAAATGTGAACTAAATAATGACTAGCCTGCACATTATTAGTTTGAGTCAACTTCTGCATTCTTTTTGATGTTTAGCTTAAAACTAAAACATCTCCCAAGTGATGCTGATTGTCATCCCAAAATGTAGTTTCTATATTTGTTTAGCTGTACCTAATACAATGCTACTCTAGTTAGAAAGAAAATAGGTAGTAGTGTAACTCTTCACAAGTTGATCTTACTTGACTTTCCTTCTTTCAGGTACCACAGTGCCAGCCCACAGAGCCATCTTGGTGGCCCGTTGTGAAGTGATGGCAGCCATGTTTAATGGAAATTACATGGAAGCAAAGAGTGTCCTGATTCCAGTTTATGGTGTTTCTAAAGAGACTTTCTTGTCATTTTTAGAATACCTATACACGGACTCTTGTTGCCCAGGTGAGCAGCAGACATGCTAGGTGATATTTCAGTTAGTTTCCTTGTCACTTAAGTTGATAAGTTCCTGTGAAATCTGCTCTGGTTGGTGCAGAACAGATTTAACACCAAGGCATGTGCTAAGCAGTTGGAGATGATCTCTGGACAACAATGGAGTTTCAGTTACTTCAAATGAAGGAGCAATGGTTGAGAGACTTCTATGAACTTTTCTATTCTGGCATAAATTCACAAGTCTCAGCCAAAATCAGCAGCCTGCTGATCACTGTAGGCTGATCACCAGGAATGTAGGTGTTTGGGGCTGGAATATATGTCAGTGGCTATTCTGTGGATTTGGGCAGAGGACATCTCATAAAAAGGTTGGGTGCCTACTTTTACTGTTCTGGTTTGATTGGGACACTGATAAGGACTTTGGATAATTTTTGGTCTTCTTTATGGCCTGAAGGATGTTGGGTTTGTTTTGAACTCAGGACCTTATAACTGCTAAGCAAGCGCTCTGCAGCTAAGCCACACCTCTGAGCCTCTTTTGTGCTGTTTTTTTTTGTTTTGTTTTGTTTTTTAGATAGAGCCTCATTTCCTGCCTAAGTCCCTATTTTATGCTTTCTGTCATAGGATGACAGGTGTTTACCATGCCCAGCTTCTACTGATACAGAGTTTCAAAGACTTTCTTCCTGGGCTGCTCTAGAACTTGAGTCTTCCCAGTCTCAACCTCCCATATATCTAGGAGTTATGCACCACAATACCCAGCCACTGTTTGAAAAGGAGTCTTGTGAATTTTTCTTCCCTAGCTCGTCTTCAGTCATAATCCTCACAACTTTAGTCAGGATTACATGCATAAACTAATGATATCAATCTAAGATGTTGATTTTTCTGACTTGTGAAGCCATACAGCATCTTAAAATGTACTTTTCTCAAAACATAGCTGAAGATATTTATAATACTCAGAGGACTGTAGGCTTTATTTCCAAATGCACTAACCAAAGACTGTCCTTGACCAGGAACCAATCATTTCTAGCACCTAAGGGTTAGAACAAATCTTGCAAATTTCCCATAATGGAGGTACCTTGGAGAAATAACAAAATCCTTTCAACAAGCATAGACAGAGAGCCCTGTCTTGCAGGCATGGAAGCACCTTTGATTATTTACCCTTTGACCACCAGATGGCTCCCACCACAAACAACTAGAATAAGCCCCATGTAGCTGAGATTTGCAACTGAAGTCTCAGCTAGACACCCTAGCAGAGGGAAAACATAAACACACACCTCTCTTTAGGTTCACTGCTTTCATGAATTGAAAATTGATGAAATAAGTTTTAAATATCAAGAGCCCTCTAACGAAAAGTTTTAGTAGTTCCAAAAAGAAAATTCCTTCTTTTGTTTAATTAATCTGGTTTTAGAGCCCGTTGTTACTGTCTGTGTTAAGGACCTGTGTTAAAGCAGTCTGTTGTTTTTTTTGTGTGACAATGGATTGTTTTTGTTTGTTTTTGTTTTCTGCCAGTCCTGGGGCTTGAACTCAGGACATGGGTACTATCCCTGAGGTCAAGGCTAGCATTCTATCACATGAGCCACAGTGCCACTTTCAGCTTTTCCTGAGTAGTTTATTGGAGATAGGAGTCTCACGGATTTTCCTGCCTGGGCAGGCGTTGAGCCATGATCCTCAGATCTGAACCTCCTGAGTAGCTAGCATTACAGGCATGAGCCACTGGCACCCAGCAATATGACTGTTTTGATAGTGGGAAATTTGTATATTAAAATTTAAAAGTGGTCAGATTTTAAGTAATAGGAAAACTTATTTCTTTTTTCTTTATCTTTTTTGGTCAGTTGTGGGACTTGAACTCAGTGTCTGAGTGCTATCAGTGAGCTCTTTTGCTCAAGGCTAATACTCTATCACTTTGAGCCACAGCTACACTAACAGTTTTTGAGTGATTAAATTGTACACAAGACCCTCATGGGGACTTTTCTGCCTAGGCTGTGCTTTGAACTGTGATCCTCAGATCCTCAGCTCTGGTTATAGGAGTGAGCCACTAGCACCTGGCAAAACTTGGTTTTTAATCATCATCTCAATTAAAGTAATTGAAGTTGTTGCTAATTTTAAATTTTACCTTGCTAATCAGGAAAAATTGTTCAGGAAAGTGACAATGAGTTTAGGAAAAGTACTTTTACAGTTGTGAAAGGTATACAGAGAAAAATGAAAATGAACAGACTTGAGCCAAATATTAGAATAAATGCATTGGGAAAATTACAATGTTACTGTATTCATTCATAGACTATTACTCTATTCGTGTTCAATATTTACTGTGTTCTTAGTTCCATAGCTACAAAAGAATGTAAAAGAGTTTAAGGAAGAGAATTACATGAAAATTATGTATAAAATTGTATTTTAAAGAGACAAACAGGCCAGGTGTAATGACTCCTGCCTATAATCCTGGTTACTTAGGAGACAAATTGGATTGTGGTTCAAGGCCAGGCTAGACAAAAAGTTAACAAGGGCTCATTTCATTGAATTCAAAGCTGAGTATGATGGTAGCTGTTTGTTATCCCAGCTATGGGGAAAGCATAAATAGGAGATTGCAGCCCAGGCCAGCCTGTGCAAAAAATGAGACCTTCTTCAGAAAATAAAGCAAAAAGGCCTGGAGGAATCATAGAGTGCCTGTGTATTGGGTGAGAGGCCCTGAGTTCAAACCCTAGTAGAGCCAGAACAAAAAACCAAACAAGAAAACAGCTGGATGGGTGCCAGAAACTAGAGGGAGGGGTATTGGTGAGTTATCATTTCGTGGGTATGTGGAGTTTCAGGTTGGGAAGTTGAATGATGTTCTGGAGATGTCTTGTTGATACACTCGCTCACAACAATGTGACTATATTTCACAACACTCAATTGCATGCTTAAATCATGGAACTGGTATGTTTTGTGTTACATGTATTTTACCACAGTGAAAACAAAACAAGCCTGGGGAGGACTAAAGCCAAGAAAGCAACATCACAGGGATTGAGTTTAGCTAACAGTGTAATGAGCTGAGAGCTCTGCATTGATGAAGGGCAGTTACAGAATCACCTCCTGGTGACTTTAAAGAAAAAAAAACTTCCTTCTGAGTGTGGCGACTTCATTGGATTCTTATAAAATGGTGTCATGGTTTGGAATGCTGACTAACCTGGAGGGAATTCTCGTCTACACCAGATAATACCATCAATCTCATTCTTGTTGGGTGTGTGTGCTTTCTGTTTTGGGTGATAAAAGCAAGTTTTATCACCTGTGTTTCTCTTCTTCCCCTCCTCTCATCAGCTGGCATCTTCCAGGCCATGTGTCTCCTGATCTGTGCTGAGATGTACCAAGTCTCCAGGCTGCAGCACATCTGTGAGCTGTTCATCATCACACAGCTGCAGAGCATGCCCAGCCGGGAGCTGGCTTCCATGAACCTTGACATTGTCGACCTACTCAAAAAGGCCAAGGTGTGTGATTTAGAAAACAACAACTTACTAACCTTTTTTTGAATTTTAATATTTAGATAGATTCGATGAACAGTATGCCACATTTATCGCTTGAAAAATTCATTAGTGAAAACTCGAGAGGCTTGTTTATTCTTCAGAGATGATCAGTAGTTGGGTATAGTATTCTGCATTACATGGCTGTACTGCTTTGGTGTATGTTTTGCCACTACGGGACACCTGCCTCTATTTGTTCTATGAGTAGTTTTTTCTTTTTTTTTCAAACTGTCAGGTTTAATAACCTTTTCTTCTTGTCACAGTCTGTACTATTTTATCACCTCAGTTTACCACCATTGTAGTATATTAAACTACAAAGGAGAAAATTCAGTGTTGCGATGTTTAAGACCTTTAAGAAGTGTGTGACTGTATCAACATCTAATGTTAAATAATGAAATAACTTACTTGAGGAAACAATATAAATTTTCCTTAAAATAATCTGAAGAATTGTGAAAACAACTACATAAATAAACGTGAAACTGTATCAGAAAATAATATCATGAGCATGCTAATATGGAAGTAATTTATAAAATAACATTACTCATAAAATAAACTAAAACTACGCCCTTGCTCCCCATCTTCCTTTGTAGAGAATTTACTCTTCATAATAACCATCATGTGGTCCTCATTTCCTGGCAACCAAAAGACTATTAGAGGTCCCTAGAGTTTGGGCCACCTCCTAGAAATGTCTGCCCTGTCTGGCCTGTAGTTACCCCTTCCAATTTCCCATTGTAACAAGGCCTGAGAGAATGCCACCCAGCTGCCATGTCTCAAAGTAAGGCAAGAGGACAGGAGCCCGCTTCTCTAGGCGGTGGCTTCTAGGCCTTTAGATAGTAATTATCTCAAACTCATCGTTTGCATCAGTCTAGAGAAGAAAGAGGAGGAGGGTTCATTGCTCAAGCCTGCAGTCTTGGTGGTGCTGGATATTGGGCAGCAGTGGCACAATCTGCTCTGTGGTGAGGTCTTCCACGGAGCAGGTTGCCCTAGCCTCTCCTTGGGAAGGCTCCACGTAGTCTTCAAGTTGTACCTCTTTAAAACTCTGCTCCTCTTCCATAACTTACACCTCTGTGGGGCCTGACAAGTCTGAGTGGGCCCACAGCAGCAGAGGTGTGGGTGGCTGCCGGCATGTTGTCCTGGCACTCTGTGCCTTCACCTGCAAGGTGCAAGAGCACCTTCTGCAGCTGCTTTTCCCTCTTCTCCTGGGACAGCCAGAGGACACACTCATCTTTGCCAGATGACACAGCTCATCTAGGACTTCCATCTGTTCTTTGTAGAGAACTCTAGACTCTTAGATGGTGTTGATGTGTTCTGACAGCTGGCTACATCGATGTTGGCTTCTACTTGGGCACCTGTGTATACTGCTTCCTGTCCCCAGACATGCCACAGTTTCATCTCTTGGCGAAGAGGGCCTGGTGCTCCAGCTTTATCTAGCACTGGGATGCCAGGTTGGCTAGGTACCTGCAGTGGGCCTGCTGCTCCTGCAACTGCCAGCTGAGTTTTACCTTCTTTGATTCAGCAACGGATAGCACTTCAAGGTAAAAATTCCACATAGTTTGTGGGTTGTCTACATCCTTTGGAACAGTCATATCAGGTGTAGTGGCCTCATCCTTCTCCTTTTTGCTTGCTCTTTCACTTTCCCTAGGGAAAGCTAGTAAGCTCAGCTAAGCCCACAGCTGCATGTTCTATGTCTTATTGCTTCCAGGCACTTCCTGTAAGTCTTGAGGAACCATCTGGTTCCCCAACTTGCTCTACACCTGCTCCTGCAGGTGTCTCAGCAAGTGCTGCTGCAGGGCCTCCTTCTCTGAGGTCAGCAGCTGATTGGAGACTATGTGCTATTCACAGGTGGTTCTGAGCCAGGTACTGGTTATGCAGCTCCTGCAGATTCTGAGCTGCTTGGCTCTTTGATTCAGCCATCTCTTTCCATTCTTCTAACTTCTCATGGATGTTTCTTTACTTGTGCTCTGAGTGCAGGATGTTGGTGAGCTCCTCCTTCTCACCACTCAGTCTGTGGCAGGCATTCTGTAACTGGGCCAGCTGATCTTTCAGGTCTTGGTTGTGCACAAGTGTGCATCTCATGGTCTCATGTTTCTTTTCCATTGTCTCAAGGATCTTGTATCAGTCCTCAGCATGCTGATCCCATTCCTCCGCCTTCTTCTCCAGTATCCACAGACACTCTTGCGCTTCCAGGTTCTGGAGGCTGAGACTCTGGTTTTCCTGCATCTGCATATGAAGTTGTTCCTCCAGGTTCTTGAGCTCCTCCTGCATCTGGAAGGCCTGGGCCTACAGCTGCTGCTCAGCCAGAGATGGTCCTGCAAGGGGTTTCAGTGGCTGTGGCTCTGCTAGCTGCTTTCTCAGCTCCACCAGCTTGCTCTTTAGTTCTAACACCTGCCTCACCCATTGCTCTTTCTCTACTCTCAATTGGCTCATCTGCTCCAAGAGCTACTGCTCCTTCTCCTTCCTCTACATGGACCCATCTAGCCTCAGGTCCACTGAAAAGGTGTCTTTCTCCAACTTTAAATGTTGTCACCAACTCTTTCCTGCTGTCTATTTGTCTTTCCAGCTCTGTCTGCTCCTCTAGTGCTTGTTGTAACTCATAAATTTTGATCTTCATGTTGGCCTTTTATGTCAGGAGCACTTTGAGCCTCTCTTGCATCTAGATGTTCTCTTCCTCCAGGTCATCATAGCTTCTGACCTTTCCCTGGAGCCGCAACTTCACATTATTCAGACATTGAATGAGCCCTAGGATGCTCCTCTCTGCTCGTTCTGCATGGTGAAGACTGTAGACAATGTCATCTCCAGTTCTGCAATGTGGTGCTGTGAAGCCTGCTGGAGGCTGGCATGATCTTCATGCTGCAGTCCTTTTTCATTGGCCACCTGCTGCACATGAGCCAGGGCAGATTGTAAATCAGATTTTTCTGAAATCAACATCTGTATTGATAGCTTGTGGAGCTCCAGCTCTGTCTTCAGGGCTTCCTTCAGTGCTTCTTCTCATTTTCTTTTTCCTGTTGATCCTGCAGGTCTTTCTTTTCCTGCTAGTTTTCAGTCACACCCCAGAGCTGCTGGTTTCATATTCTGCTGGAGTCCAGGGCAACTCTCAGGTGTTGTGGTAGCACCTTTCCAGATCCTCGGTGTTATTGGGGCCTGTGACACTCCAGACCCTGGCAGCGCTGTGCCCAAAGGCTCAGGGTTAATGTGATCTTTGGCCACATCCTCTTTGAATTACAATCCCCTGTGGTGTTCATCTTGGGGATATCTCCTTTTCCTTTTCATATCTCATTTTCTTCTTTTTCTTAGATTCTGCAGGTCTATCGGGACAAATCTTCTGCTGGTATTCTTGCAGCAGTTTCTTTCCTGCAACTATTTTTTTTTTTTGGTCTTGTTAGTTCAGACATCCCAGCTCTGAGATGGAAAAGGTGGAAGGGCCACATTCCCAGGCTCTGAAATCATCTTTATTCTCAAAATCACCACCAACTATGTCTATTTCCTACTGTATCTCCAAAATCACCTCAATTCTGTCACTCAACCACTCAGCCACCTCTATCTTCCTCAACTGGTGGTAGTGGTATAAATCAACAAAGGGAATACCAGTGCTACTAGGCAGCATGAAATATGGGTGTGGCCCCAGTTCTTATATCCCATTGGTCAGAGAGAAACATGAAAAAATAGGGGCCATGGTCAGAACCTTGTGATCCAGGCAGAATGGGTGGAGTCAAGATGAGAGCTGCTCCCGCAGTCCCTCCCCCATACAACCATGTCCAGTTTGGTTGGGGGAAGGGTGGGACCTGCTCTTGCTGGATAGGTACATAGTTTTATGAGTCACTTTCCTGGCTTCCATCACACAACTGTGGGCACCAGAGTTTCCACCAGCTGCCCTTCAGGAAGTGGCACTGAGAAGCATAGCTATCTATCCATGTCCAATGTCTTCAGGTATTCATTCTATGCAGAATTAGACCTATGGTTCTGAGCATATTTGCTGTCACTTGTATTCTCATCAGGTCTTGATTATAACCTACTCTTCTAGTCACTTTGGGACTGGAAGGGTCAGGGATTGTCACAAGTCTAGGGCTCCTCTCAATGAGCACTGGCCATGCTGTACACAGTGCAGCACATGTTCCACACGCTTTGGCTGGTGATCTCAGAGGATTCAGAAACACAGTCATGGAAGGAATGACAGTGTCTGAGAATTACGAGGTGCTGCTGTTGTCCAGGAATATGTGAAATCCAAAGGAGCATAGAAAGAAGAATGATAACTGGCAGAGGATTAAAAACAAATCTGTTAGCTGAGCAGTCAGCTCACCAGTGACATCCAAATGATGTTCCAATGTGTCCAGAATCCAGGTTCTGGGGCAGCTCTCTACAACTTCAGAGCCCTTGGACATCTACTTCAGCACTGGTGTGATTGGTTGCCCTCCAGCAGTAGGCTGATATGATTGGTGAGTCCATTTTGTGTGACCAGTTTTTTCTTCCAAAGAAAACTTCATGCTGGTTATGATGGAATGCACCTGAAGTTCTTTATCCTCAAGTCACTTCTTTGGATTAAGGCATTGTCTCCAGAAGGCCACTGTGAAATGCTAGTTATCAGGACTCAGGGTGGTGGTGAACTCCTCAGTCTCTCGACTAAAGTGATAGCCAGTCCTGAGCCCTGACCACAGCAACCAGCCATATATTAACCTTTTAAATATTTTCATGAGATATTTTAAAAATACCTTTATGAGACACAGTGGTGTCTGTGACTAAGCAATGTTGCAGCAGAATTTATGGATGTGGAGTTTTTCTTTCAGTAGTGGTCCTTAACCAAAGTCATTTGAGTGTAGTGCCCTACTGAGTCACACAGGCATGATGGGAAGTTGAATTTCCATTGAATCCCTCTACCCTCCTACCAAAAAAATGATAACTTCTAAAAGAAAAATGACAAGATGAGTCCCTGTATAAGGATAGGTGTGATTAGACTAAATTCATTGATCTCTTCATTCATTGCCTGTTTATGTTTGAAGGTGAAACTTTTATATAGGAGAAGCTAGTATAGTTTGTTAATCCTTGCAAAATGCCCTTTGTTGGAATGTCTTACCAACTGTGTGAGGAATTTAATAAAACTCAGTGTGAGACTGAGCTTCATTCAAGCCTTCTTTTGGAGATGAGCAATTTTGGTATTCTTACTTTTCCTTCTCCTGATTGTCTACTATGATTCTAACTGGTTCTTTTATTTCTATCAAATAAATTGTATGTTCTCTGTCTCTCGCTGTCTCTGTCTCTATCTCTCCCTCTCATCATCATCATGGAGCTTGAACTTAGGGCCCGGGTGTTGTCCCAGTGTCTCTTAAGTGTTAGCTCAAGGCTAGTACTCTACTACTTTGAGTTGCCACAATTCCACTTCCAGGGTTTTTCTGGTGGTTGATTGGAGATAAGAGTCTCATGGACTTTCTTGCCTGGGCAGGCTTCGAACCATGATCCTCAGATCTCAGCGTCCTGAGTAGCTAGGATTACAGGCGTGAGCCACTAGTGCCTGGCCACACTCCATCTGTTAATACACAAATGATCCTTGTTTATTTTGCTCAGTCAAATCAATTTCACACTGAAATGATCATCCCTTCTCTCTGACATTTAAGCAATATCTATGCAAACTTTAATACTATGAAGTTGTATTTACTCTCATATTAAAATTTAATAGTATTCTTATAAAGTATATCTAATATTTGGCTACCTGGGTCCATAAGATCTGATTCTTTTTTAATATATGTTTTTATTGTAAAAATACTGTACAGAGGGTTTACAGTTACATGAGCAAGGTAATGAGTACATTTCTTATCAAGCATTGTTGCTTCCTCCTTTGTTTTTCCCTTACCATCCCTTCCCTTCTACCTTTAAAACTACACCCTCCACCCCCTCCCCCCCACCTAAATTGTAAATTTCGGTTTCAACATAGTGTCTTGTGCATCTCATTGTTACAATGGGTCAACCTGTATCCCTATTTAAACATTTTGTTTTTTCCCTTCCCCTCCCCAAAGTAGAGAAGTGTATATACAAGATGCAAGGCATTGATATCAAATACAGTGAAAACAGGGGTTATACTGTGGGGGAGGAACATACAAAGAAACAAAAAAATTACATGGTATATTATGTGTTAGAAACAATAGCAAGAAAGAAAAAACCACTTGTGTCCCTATCTTGGGGTTCATTTCACTTAATATTATCTTACCTGGTCATCTGTACATTGCTTTTAACCTTTTCTGCTTGTCCCAGACATATAGTAGTTATTGAAAATAAGGGAAACCATGGGACCTATGTTTCTTTGGGCCTGGCTTACTTCAGATCTGATTCTTTTCTGTGGCTCTTAGGTAATTTCTTTGTATTTGTTATATAGCTCTGAGGTTGAATACCATTTAGTTTGTGGATTTTTTTAATGCCTTTCTCTCTTTTTTTCTACTTCAATTTAAACATATTATGACAGTATAGACTTTTCCAAAAAACTAGTTTTAACAAAGATATGCTTTCCACCTCTTGTCAAGAGCTCACAATGGTGGTATCTTAAATTTTAGTCAAAATTAGGATTCTAGCTAGGCACGAATGACATACACCTAGCTACTAAAGAAGCTAAGATCTGAGGATTGTAGTTCAAAGCCAACACAAGCAGAAAAGTCCATGAGACTTTAATCTCCACTTAACCAGCAAAAACCTGTAAGTAGAGATATGGATCAAATGACAGAATAGCAGCCTTGAACAACAAAGCTAAGGGAGTTCAAACTTCAGTACCTGCACATGCACACAGACACACACACATACACATTCACCAAAAAATGTAAGATTCTGCATTTGAAGCACATTTTTACAGTCAGCTATTATCTCTGATTTTTCTTCTCTTTCAAAGTCATAAGCCTTAGGCCATTATCTTGATGTCCTGACCTTCTGGTGGAAGGTTATCTGCTCTGGGCCAATCATCTAATGATATAATATCTTTTGTTATATACTACATTATTTTTAACTTATATTTATCTGCTTAAAAATAAGAAGAATTGAAATGTGATATTATATAAAACTATAAAGTTCCTTCCAGCCCAGAAATTCTGTGTAACAACAAAAAGAGGGATGTATTAATTTGTATACTAAGATATTTTCATACTATATAACCTATTGGAAGACCTTGTCCTTGTTTATTCCTTAAGATGTGAGGTGATAACTTAACATTATTTACTGTGCTTGCATGATATTACTACTTATTTACTACTTGTATAATATTTGTGAGAATTCTGAAAAGAAAAATCTACAACAAAAAGTTGGATACATACTAAAGTCTGTCTGAGGATAAACAGTGTGCCATACACATACAGTATAATACTGTTGATCTTCATAAAGAAATGGCTTAGATGTTACAATGTGGATAAACCTTGGAAAACATTATACTATGAGACATGAGCTAGACAAATAAATGAGGGACCCAGATTAGTCAGATTTATAGTGACAGAAAGTAAAATAGAAATAACCAGGGCCCAAGGATAGCAGGTTAAGAGTAGTTATTATGTAATGGATGTGGAGCTTCAGTTTGGATAAAATAGTTTTGGAACTCAGTAGGGTACTAGTTGCACAAGTATGTGAGTATACTTAGTACCACTGAACTGTACACTTAGAACTGGATAAAATGGTAAGCCACCTGTTATACATATTGTATCACAAGGATGATAATAACAGTAATATGGCCAGGCACCGGTGGCTCATGCCTGTAATCCTAACTACTCAGGAAGCTGAGATCTGGGTAGGAACATCCGTGAGACTCTTTATTTCAATTAACCACCAGAAAACCAGAAGTGACACTGTGGCTCAAGTGGTAGAGTGCTAATCTTGAGCTGAAGAGCTCAGGGACAGTGCCCAGTACTAGAGTTCAAGACTCAACAACCAACCTCCCTCCCCCACCCCCACCCCCCCCCCCCCCCCGGCCAAAAAAAAACAATAATAAACTTTACTCTGCAAGTTCTTGAGTTGGTGGTTGAATGAATTTCCTTTGGTATGCAGCTTTTTGAACTCAGAATGGGGAGAATTGTGCGAGAAATCATGCTCAGTGTAACAGGAGATCCATTAAAAGCAACTATTCAAACCTTACCTCCTCATAGAAATATTTGCACATGGAAACCCACACCCTTTGGCTGATGATGTTTACTCCTCAAAATAGTTTTATGTTTGTTCCTCAGATGGATTTTTTTTGGCTGTTGCTCCCTATAATATTTTTATGTGATGGAAACATAAGTATAGCTAGTGAATTCTATGATGTTGGTAAATTAAAAGCTTAAATCTTTAAGAGCAATGGTTTTTGTTAATCACAAATGTCGCCAAGCCTCAGCTTGAAGACATTTGGTCACTCTAGCAGCATCAACTTAGTGTTTCTGCTTCTTCATTGAATGAAGTAAGTTTATTATTATTTATAAATAATGTTCCCCTCTCTGCAGGGACAGTTGCCTGAAGGCATATATATATATATATATATGTATATATATATATATATATATATATATATATAAAGGCATTTATATATGTGTGTGTGTGTGTGTGTGTGTATGTATACACATACACATATACATACACACACACACAAACTTGGAAGTAGGCTTCTTGATTTCTCTCAGGCTACTGTCTGGCCTTAATTTCATAATGATGATCCTTATGTGCAATGTTTTTTTCTTCTCATTTCCTTGCAGTTTCACCACTCTGATTGCCTTTCCACCTGGCTACTTCATTTCATTGCCACTAACTACCTCATCTTCAGTCAAAAGCCTGAATTTCAGGACCTTTCAGGTAGATTGCCAATTTCACTTTGAAAAGAAAACTTTTGGGGGGAGGGGAGGGGTGGTGCATAGCTCAAGTGGTAGAGCAGAGACTCTGGATTCAGTTTCAAATAGCAAAAGATAAATAAAGAAATATTTCTAATCTTTGCTCTTGAGATATAATTTTAAAAATCATGGTTTTGGAAAAGAAAGTATAGTCAATTTAATATATTTCTTTTAAATGATTCAACATACTGCATGACACTTTTATTTATTGCTACTTGTGTCATATAAGCAGCTTGACTTATGTTACACAGCAAGTATTCTAATGATTATTTTATACTTCTCATTCATTTTTAAGTGCCATGCATTTTTGTCTGAGAGATAAAGTGGTCATACTGTCCTAGGGTGGCATTTGGTTGTGGTAAATGAGATCTTAGTTTTAACTACCTATAAGTGAGAAGCAAAATTTAAATAGTACTTTAATATGTTCTTATAAAGGAACTTAACTATTGTTAATTATTTTGTAGTACATGGTCTTTTAAAATTAAATATTTATATGTATTAAGTATATTTATATAAGCACTCCTTATATTGCTTTGGAATACATGTTTTAATTGATCAAGTATTGTGAATTTACTAACCAGAAAGTATATGTAATACAATTTGTAAGATAAACTACAAAGATAGAAACAAATCAAAGGGTGAGATTCCTAATACTACATAAAAAGAAAGAAATGAAAATGGAATAGCTTTCAGAGTAAACAATCAGATTAATTAGCAATTAATTAATTAATTAATTATGCTATAATCTAGCATAGTTTCAAGCAGAAAACTTGAACTAAAAAGATAAGGAAATGAAAGAATACTTGGTCATGTACTTTCAAACTCTGGACAAAAACTCTTCATGGAAATGCCTGAAAGTTGTCTTGAGTTGGGGACAGAAAGTTGGCCAGTAAGGAGAAGAGAGAAAAGGAAAGAGGAGGGCAAAAATCTTATCTCTCTTAGACTTGAACCTTCCTTTCGGAATAATTTGCTTTTCTCTGTTGTGTAGCTGAGAGTTTATTCTACATAAAGTTTTTACTCAGTAAAAAGGCAGGCTACTAAAGGGTATGTTTCACCAAAACTAGAGAATAAGCAAAGTCAAAGACCTGGAGTTGAGGAATGGTGGGATCTATGATGAAAGTATAAAAGCCGAAAGGATATATGGGCCTTAGAAGTCAGTCCTCTGGAGCAGCAGCAATTACAAGAGAATGGATAGGTTATCTGATAACGATGACCAAGTCGAAAGCAGGATTGAGAACACAGTGTTTAGAAGATTTACTACAAAGAAACTAAGTGAAAATAAATGAGTTTACATCTAGGACAAACAAAAATTGTACTCAAAAAGAAAAGGTAAACCATCAGACACTACTTGGTGAATCTCTGGACAAGCCACATATAATTGGAAATCACTTAACAACAACAACAACAACAACAAAGCCTCCTGATTCAGTTAGCTAAAATTGTATTAAATGATTCTGGAAAGCTTGAGGGAAGGGGAAGAGTATATAACAGAGTGAATCTCATTGACTGTATAGGAAATTGATAGTTAATACCTCAACCGATCCAAAGTAAAATAAGTTCCATTAACATTCTTTTCTCTTAAAATTTTAGTGGAAGAACGCAGTTTTGTTGAAAAGCACAGATGGCCATCAAATATGTACTTGAAGCAGCTTGCAGAATACAGGAAGTATATTCACTCCCGGAAATGTCGATGCTTAGTCATGTAACCTGGAGCTTTTATATGCGTACACTTTTTTTTTTTTTATTACTATGAAGACTGGGATGCCTCTGGATTCCAGTGAAATTCTTATAACTGAGACCGAATATGGGTGATTAAAAAAATACATCACCATACAGCTTGATAAATTTATTAGTTCTCTTTGCAAAACACTATTGTGGGTCTTAAAAGGGAACGCAATATACTGCAGACTAAAAAGGCTTCTGTGTAGAATATAAAGCTGTAGGACAGGTGTATTCTCCCTTTAAAATATCCTGTTCCTTTAGTGACATGAAAACTCCTTCCAGTTAAAAAAAAATGTTAAGTTAAAAAAAAAAAAAAAACCTAGATTAATACAGAAGTTTCATCATGTCTAAGTGTTCTATTAAAATAAAGAGCCTTAAGAAAGACCCAGTGTAACTATTTCTATAGTCAAAAATTTAGGGGAAGAACTAATCACTAATCATTAAAACCAGATTATGGAAGTGGCATGCCACTTGGTTCTGAATCAGTGAGTGTATAGATGAATATCATGAAGAAAAATGTCTGTTTTCCAGACAATGTTGCCTACCTGTCTTGTCCCCTCCTTAAGATTCTGGTTAAGCAGGAAACCTAATCAGGCTTTATCGGGCCTAACCTGTTTCAACTGCACAGCACCCACACTTGGAAGGGCCTGGCCCTGGGTTCCACTTGGAGTGTAGTTGTCAGATCCTTAATTCTTATCATCATTTAGAGAAGGACCTTATGCTTTCACTTTGCACTGTGCCCCTGTTGCAGACATACCAATTATGTCTATTTCCTGAAAAGAAAAATACTGTTGTTTTCATGCTCAGACACCATACTCTGACAGCAGAAAAGGAACACTGATCCTAAGAGAAGAGGGTGTGGCTTGTTGGAAGGAAGAATGCGCAATTGCGATTGCTGAAATTTGTAGTACCCAAGACCTCCACTGCCACCCCCACTGGTATGTGAGAAATTCCTTGTGTTAGCTTTAAAACACTTCATTGTGGCTCAGCTCCAGATGAAGAAGTATCTTCTTACTCATTCTGAAAGACAAGAATATTGGTAAGAATGACTGATTAGCCTGACTGTAATACTCCATGTTTATAAAGATACAGGCAAAAGATGCTTGCCATGACAGCTTGAGAAGTTTTCTCTCCTTAGTGTATTTGCTAAGATTTGGATGTTAGTAGTTGGAATCTCTTGAACTCTTTCCAGTAGATTACAAGGCTATATGGTGTGAAATGACATTAGTTTTGTGCCTCAATTACCTTACCCAGTAAGATAAAAGGAAGGATATAAATTAGACTGTTATGTTCAGAGAGAATGGTCGTAGAGAACAGAATTAGAGTTTCTCTCCTATCACGTAATGATTCCATGAGAAGCTCACAAGCCTGCAGATTTGGAAAAACAGATTACTATTTATTGTTGGTCTCATTGTCATATGTAATTTAGTATTGGAATGTATTTTCCTCTAATTCCTAGTGACTCTAGAATATACATTTTTTCCACAACTTTCAAAGATTGATTAAAGTCCTATAGTATTAGGATTCCATACAATTAGCCTTGTATGTATATCAACACTGTCAGAGAAGCAGTAAAAATTCCCTATAGAAATATTCCAAGACACCTAACTTTAATTGGACTGTGTCACTGAATATTACTGGAATGTATTTTATGGAGTTTTTTGTGTGTATTTTTCTCACTTGAATTAATAGCAAATCCAAATTGACTAGAATTAGTATTGTTAAGAATAGATACTAGAGCTAACTTTTAGAAATCCACTCATATTTACAAACTTTTAAATAACCGTAATCTCAGCCTGCTTCTTAATTGTAGCATTTCAGATTCTAAAACTTTTAGGAAATTGAGATATGTAAGTTTCAAAATAAAATATCATTTGAAAAAACAATTTGACTTCTAAGTAGAATTAAAGCTAGTTCTTAGAGATGGTTCTGAGTAAGAGTTGAGTTTGGAAACTGGTACTCTTAGATGTGGAAAGTACTTCACCACCTATATAAGTGATTTAGCCAGATATCATGATTCTCCAGAGCTAGTCAGAATACAGTTTGTTAGACTTAAACCTGTTTGAATGTAGACTCTTCTTACTTTTGAATTCACTCACTTTTAAATAATGAGAAATTTACTTAATGACTTTTGAGAAGTGAGTTTGGTTTTAAGATTTTTGTGGACTTTGGGCAATTGAAATATTATTTTTAGATGGATGTATGCTTGTGTTGATTTCTGCTTCAATGTATCTACCAATCAACTTTAATTAGAGAAGATAATGTGTAATTGAACTAAGGCCCTTGCTTTCTTGGCCAAGTTTTCATTCTATTTAACCATTTTTTTACCTCTGACTACTCCGTCTTGCTAGGAGATATATAATAAAGAACTCTCAGTATGGTAATTGAAATTTACCCTGTTGAAGCCAGCATGGTGGCTCAGTATTAGGTAGTGGTAAAAGACTGAAGAATTGGATAAATTTGACAGGCCAGCTTTTCAACTGTAATTTTACAAACTACACTACATTGATATAATTAGACCTAAATGTGCTCAAAGATTATTTTATTTAAAGCATCTGTTTAATTCAACCTTTAATAATTTTGCAAAGAAGGGTATATGTGTATTTTAATATAGCCTGACTGGAATTTATATGTTTTTAGCTTTAGTATTTAACATTTTGTAACAAATAAAAATTTTTTAAAGCAAGTTTAATGAATTGTCTTATAGTTATTGTACCTCAGATGTTAAATAGCTACAGTTATTTTGGACATACTACCTTGTGTTTCTGAGGCATAATTACATAAAAATTTCCATCATGTATAAAATATTTAAAATGTTGCTGATATTCATATGTGTGTGGTAAGTTTAAAAGAATTATTTATGTGATGGGAATTATTTATGTGATGGAGATGTGGCTCAGTGATAAAGCAATTGTCTAGCATCTTGAGGTCCTGGGTTCATTCTCTAATACTGAACAATTAATGGACAATTTTTTATTAATTTTAACAACTAGTTGAAGGATAAAAGAATCTTTCTTTGTTTAAATAAGTATTCAGAAGGGTTTGACAATTAGGAAGCATAGATTGAGTTCTTTGTAAGCTACAATGTTGAAGAACCCAAGAAATGCAAAATGGAGAGGTCACTCGGTTGAATAGAGGGATAAGATTTTGGAGCATCCTAGGTCTAAGGAGCCCAGTGAGGAAGAGGAGAGAGAAAGGCAGTTACAATGTGAGAACAAATTATGATGTGGTCCCTCTCTTGAAGATTCCTAAATTCTCTGTAAAGTCTACTGAATGCATCAAGGCATTATAGTTAAAATGGGATTTTGTTCCTAACACGTCACATATAGATACTTTACCTTCCTAGAAAACCCATATCACCCATGCAAAAACTTGCATAGTCCTCCTCATTGGCAGCAAGACCCTTCATAATTATGATATATCTTTTCTGCCTTGATAATTCTCTCCCAAGCAGAAAATATGCTCCCATGTTGACACATGACTGTCCACACAGATCATCTGAATGGATTGGGTTAGGTCATCACTTCTGTCTACTTTGCAAGAGCGTGCATATCCAATAAAACCCAACTTGAGCATTTCTCTTTTGTGTTCCTCTCTTAGGGAGAATTATTTTCTTCTACATGTATTTCCCCAGCTCATCATTCATATCTTGTGGTCAATCTTATTGCAGCATTTCTAGATATGTGTGTATGATAGTATCTACTTAGCTATTATTTGAGGGCAGGGACCACTTAGGTTTCAGAGGATAAACTGGACAGCCTGGCTGCCTGGACACTTGTCACTGGTAGAGTCACCCAGAAAGTCCTAGTAATGAAATGTCCAGCAGAACTGAGGTTGGGGCTGCCACAAAGACCTTTGGACTGCAGCTCCAGCCAAGGAAAGCTTCAGGCATGGCTTCCAAACAGTAGCAGCTGTGGCACTATTTGTGACCCACAAACCCATGAGTTGGGGTTGCCCATGGCTTCACGCTCAACCCTCACCTCATTGTACCTGAAATGTAGGACATAGAGTCTTGGAAAATTATTCTGGAGATAAGAAACTTAATGTTTTTCCTGTTGGATTTTTTATTTATTTGGGAACAGTGCTCCATTTTTTTTTTTTTTTTTGCTTATCAATTTTTCCTCTGTCCTACACCTGTCTCATTGTAGGTTGGAAGTAGATAAACTTGTTTCTGTTCCATAGCTTGAGATAATTTACCCCAAGTGTTGCTCAACACAGGTTTATGTGAGACTTTGAACTTTAGAGTATTGGTTAAGATGTGGGGCTATTCAAATGGAATAAGGACATTTTCCATGTAAGAAGTACATTAATCTGTGGAACCAGGGGGCAGAATCCTCTGGTTTGAAGGTGTTCCTCAAAGCCCATGTATTGGGACCGAAATCCTCAGTGCACTAATGCTGGGAGTGGAGCGCAGGGAGGTGCCCAGGCCATGAAGGCTCCAGCCTTATCTATCGTGGATGGATGCCAAGTATACAAAGTTCATGAGTTTGATTCCTTGCACTCTCCCCTATTCTTGCATACCCACCTTTCCTATGGAATGATTCAGCACGAAGGCACCTTGCCAGCTGTAGGCCCCTCAACTTCGGATTTCCTAGCCCCCAAACTGTTTTTGTTTTTAAAATAAGTCTGTTTCCCATCCTTTGTAACAGCACAAAATAAATTCAGATATGTTTAAAGGGTAAAACTGGGCTGAAGGCCTCAGTTGAGCTCACCCGCTAACTGAGCCCCACAATAGCTGTCCAAGCTGGAGGTGCCCCTCAGGGAAGGTGGCTCACTCAGGGAGGCACATAGATTGACAGGCTGTGGAACCAGTGTTCCATGGAACCTACTCTGGGAAACACTGTGCTAAGTGACAATCTACTCTAGAGAAGTATCTAATCATTTTCTGAGGTTGTGGCTCAGTGCTCAGGGGCCTGACAGTTGCCCCATTGGGCCAGGGAACACAGACCTCTTGTAGAGAAAGACTGGAGGGTGGAGGGGCTTATAAGTACTTGCTCCTGGATGCCCCCTTAGAGATTTCTCAGTCTCCCTACTTGTAAAATGGAAATTACACTAGATTGGAGGCGTGCTCTGAGACCACATGAAAACATATACAGAATTTAAAATGCCTAGGCAGCTGGGTCTAAGTGTCCATCGTAACACGCAGACTCTTTATCTTTTTTCAACCAATGGAGAAACTGCCTATCCACTTGAGAGTGCCTGGGAAATATTGCACTGGACTCATTTAGCATTAACATTGGTAAGAGTGAATCATTATTGAAAGCCACCCCTTTCTGAGCTGCTTGTGGGATTCTGGTCTATGTAAAAAGGAAATCTAGAAACCACAACTGTGGTAGTGGTCTCCAAAATTAACGTGGAATAGAGCCCACCTTTCCACAGCTACTCACCGTGCTTTTACAGCAATTGTCAAAAGCTACTGTGAAGGCTGGATGCATTTTGAATAGAAACATTTTTGAATAGATAATTATATGTACATGACAGTTGTCCTTTAAATGAGTTTATATTTCATTCCCTGCTGCTACTGCCATACATAAATAAACCAGAAAAATCAAGTGCTCATCTTTACTAAGATATTGGGAAAAGAGATACAGTGAAAGATAATACAGAATGGCCACTGTTTGTATATCGTTGTCATTGTGAAGAATGGGATATATGTACATTGTCTTACATTGTCTGAAGCTCATAGGGGCTCAATCTTCTGTAGTCAAAGAATTATCAGAAACAATGGCTTACTCATTAGTGGGGAACATTTACTGTTTCGGTCCTTGGATTCAGATAAAGGGAGGTCTCTCTTCTCTTTCAGCTGAGGAGTCTTTAGGAAGCATTCTGCATTCTTTGCTCCTTTGGATAGGGAGGAGGAGAGGGAGAGTGGGGAAAAGAATAGGACAAGGAAGAGAGGAAAATAATTCCTGTGGTTGGATTGGCAGTCTTGTTAACCATAAGGCCACATCAGAAGAAGTGGTAGAAATGGCTTCTAAAGTGGTAGAAAGCTACTTCATGGTTCCCACCCTCTACCCATTTGCTGCTTGCTCCTGCCTCATCGAATGGGGAGGGAATCAGGGCTCTTTCTTGCGTTTTTGGTGGTTTACCTATCTGGAGCTCCCACAGTCTTCCCTTTCTGGAGACAATCCATGATCTACCCTTTTCTTCTGCCTCTCTGGTCTTCTTCCATCACATAGGAACTGCCTTGAGGCTGAACAAGATCTTCCATGAGGGGCTGGGTAAGGAAAGTTAGAATCAGCTTTACCTACTCACTCTGGTCACACATGTATTTGATCTAGATAACGGGAGCAGTCCCCCAACACCACAGGTTCCAGATATGTTCTTGGCTTCTGTATTTCTAGGAATGGATCTTCCATTCTGAAAGTGGATTCTTTGGTCCTTATTACCAGTTAGAACTCTGGGTATATTGTTTTAGAGAGCTCTCAGGCCCAGTTCTCTAGGGTGACATGGAAGAAGAATAGAGCCAGTGCAAAACCACGCCTGATAAATTGTATGTAATTTCACTAATCTTTCAAGTTTCATGAGACACACAAGAGAAGTAAAAAGGCAGAGACTTTGCTCTCCGATTAGGCTCAGCTGCAGGGCCCCAGAGGCTACAGAGAGTTGATTGGGAGGGAGAAGTGGGCAGGAAGGTCCACCAGAGCCAAAGCCCTAAGCAAGGCCTGAAAGATGCACCGTGTTCTGTACCTTCATTGGCTCTCCTACTCCCTGCCTTTTCTGCTCCCCTGTCAGCTCTGCACAGTTCCCCAGAAATGTTGCCTGGGGACAGTAAATATAAACCTGGGAATAAAAATAGGCCCATATTTAAAAATTATTTGTGCTTAATTTGAGAACAATTAAACTCTGTCCCTTCTCACATTCGGAGTACTTAATAAGAGAAGATTGTTATTAATGTAAGAAATAAATTTTCAGTAATCTGCTGCAGGAGGCTAGTTTTTGAAAATATATTCCAGGACTGGTAAATGATGATTATGGGGAAGTAAATTAGGGAATATGGCTTTCTCACAACCAGATGTCAAGGTAATAGTCATACTCACTAGGGATTTAAATAGACTGGTCCAGATCATATCTACTCATTTATTACCATACCCGTGGCTGTTGTTTTCCCTTAAGGGTCATTTTCAGGCAGACTTGAATGGGAGGAATATCTGCCAGGAGTCCAGCATCAGGAGTTAGGCTGGAAGCAGCAGAGAGAAAGGAGGCTTTTGCAGGGATTAAATCACTGGTTTTATTAAGTAAACAAAAAAAGTAACACTTTGGCCCGTGTTTTTGTTAGTTATTCACATTACTTTCCCTGCCCATCTCTTCTGCCAAAGTTTCATCACTTTTTTGATGATAGTCCTTCCTATCACTGCCTGTCTTACAGAATTACTCAGCAAGGAGCACTACAGAAAACAGGGAATCATATGAGTCTGCATACTGACCAGGGAGTTGCCAAGTCCCTTTGCCCTGCTTGGCAGACAGAACCCTGGCAAGAAGGTCCAGCCCCTCCTCCCCAGCTGTGACACTAGAGAAACTGAATAGCTCAAAGAAAAGACATCCAGGAACTAACAGTCTGGGGAACCTCCCATTCAAATGGCCAGGGCGTCCATTCTTTAATTTATTGGCCCAGACACTCAGCAGACATTTATTATCACATGCCTAGTATTTGCCAGTCTTCTTGATGCACAGACTCAGCTATGAATAAAACAAACAGAAATCTGACCGCAGGAGGTTATACTCTAATAGTAAAGAGAGATAATAAAAACTAAGTAAATTGAACAATTATTTAGATGATAAATGTCGTAGAGAAAAATGAAACGAGGGATTAGGGTGGGTGAATGGGATGATGGCAGGGTGTTCCACTTTACATGGAGCAATGTGGAGCCCTTTCTGAGAGGGAGACATTTGAACAGTCTGCTAAGTATGATAAAGCCCATTAATTAACAAGCCCAGGCACACACATCTTCCAACCAGGTGTTCAGTGCCTGTTTGTTTTGAGGTGGAGTCTTGCTGTGCTTCCCAGGGTGGCCATCAACTCCAGGGCATAGGCAATCTTCTTCCTACCTCAGCCTCCCAATTAGTTAGGACTACAGGTCTAGTACATGCACCTGACTTAGTGCCCCATCTTAAATATTTATGGAGAATCATATCTCTAGACTATATTAAAAAAGGCTTTCACATGTAAGACAGAAACAGAAAATAGGAGCCCAGTAGGAAAAGACTAAAGGGAAGATTCAACATGCTAATTTTCTTTCCATATTCTCTATTGTTCCTCCTCCCACCATTTTATTTATTTATTTATTTATTTTGGTATAGACCTGAGTTTTAGAAGCATTTTGATCAAGAGACAGATGCAATTGCCTCACCTTTCAGCAGCTAGGTGGGGCCACAGACTAAGCTCTGGCCAATGAGCAGAGTGCTACACAGTTGCTGTGTCTACCCATACCTCATGGAGCAAATGCCACTTACCTGCCTCTAGACTACTTTGAGAGAAATATTCCTGTGCTGTGCTTCTGTGTTCTTGGTTTAGCAGCTTTACCTAATATATATGGGTCACAGGAAACAGGAGATCCAACATAGACTAGAGACAAAGCGAATACCCCCGGTTGACAGTAAAGAGAAATGGAGCCCAGGATCTTAATCCCAGCACAGAGAGCAACTCATCCACATGAGGAATGTTCTGGTATTCCATCTTTGTCTTTTAAACTTCAGGGCATGATGTCCAATTGGGCTGACGTGGATTCTTTATCTGTCCTTAGCTTGCTTAGAGCTGATGGTATTTGTCCATCTGGGACAGCTAGCCAGTTGAGAGTTGTGGGTATGCTTTGACCTACTTCTGAAAGCCAGAGGAGCTTGAAGACAGAAAATACAGAGCAGTCCCTTCCCGTTGACCATATTTCTGGGAGATGCTCATCACCCAGCTCATAAATCACCTCCAAGAATGTGTTTCTGTGGACCCACTCAAAACCTCTGAGATTTCCCTAGAGATGGCACTGCTAGCAAAGGTTCTAGGGCTTTCCCAGGGAAGCTGACATCAGTCTATCTCTCAGCCAATCAGCTTATTTTCTGGGATGAGATTGTTCATTATGATGTAATAGTAATGCCTTTTCCTTACAGAGCTATGCTAGTCAAAAGTAAAACATGTTGTTGTGCATGATGGGCCTGCCTATTGTTCCTAGCATTTAGGAGGCAGAGGCAAGAGGATTGTTGAGTTCCAGGACAGCCTAGACTACACAGAAAGACCCTGTCACAAAAACAATCCCAAAACAACCAAAGAGTAAAACATGTTGCTTATGGGTGTTTCAGGGAGTCTTATTGAAAAAAGACATAGGTACTTTGTTTCTTAACCAAGGAGGTAGATACATGGATGCTAAATAGACCTGTACACTTTACTTCTGTATGTTTGCTTTATAATATTTTATAAGATTTATAAGCCATGAAACTGATATGTTTGACCAAAACTAGAGTTGATCAGGATTGCACCAGAACAATTAAATATTGTTTAGCTCTTAAAACTACATATATACATTACCTGATTTTTTTTTAATGCTCTGGGGCTTGAATTCCCTGAGTTTCTTTGTGCTAAAGGCTAGCACTCTACCACTTGAGCCACAGCATTTATTAGAGATAAGTCTCCCAGGCTTTCCTGCCTGGGCTGACTTTGAACTGAGATCCTCAGTTCTCAGTAGCTAAGATTATAGGTGTGAGCCACTGGCACCCTGGCATATTGCCTGATTTAAAAACAAACAAAACAAAAACTCCAAGCTAGAAATTGAGGTACAAAGACAGCTAAGTCAAATTTCTTGTCTGTGGGTATTTCTTAATCTGTCAAGAACCAATACAGATGAGCAACTCTAGTATAGACTGTAAATAGCTATGGAACAACTATATCATAGCCTGTTAACAGCTGTGGAGTGCTGGAGGTGCTTCTGAATTACAGAAAGGAAACAATGATTGTTTTTACTCAAAAAAGACAGGGACAGAAGGGAGGTGTATAGAAAACCATCTGCTCCAGGAGGAGGACTATGAAAATAGACCAAAAGAGAAAGGATACCTCAGGATGAGGAAACACAAGGAGCAAGGACCCAGAAATATGGGAGAAAGTTCAGGTATGGTCCTGAGTGGATCTAGAGTTGTGCCTAACTTCCAGAGGATGATATTCATTGTGTTGTTCAATATGTAACCTGTACACTTATCCATAGCAATCCTGGCTAGTTAAAAGTACAAGAGTATTAGGTGGGCAATGGAAAAAAGGAATTTACAGTGAAAACAATGATCAAATACCAAACTTTCTTCAGCATGCTAGTGTTGACATGATAGTCATTGCAATAGGAAATTAAACAATCATCTCCATCAGGTATATTTAGAGTGATAGCAGCAGCACTTCTGTGGGGAGACAGGGGCAGAAAGAAGTCAGTCATGGACTTGAACTCAGGGTCTGGGCTCTGTCCTTGTTCTCGTTTTGCTCTACCACTTTGAGCCACAATGCCACTTCAGTTTTCTGGTGATTAATTAGAGGTAAGAGTCTCACAGACTTTCCTTCCTGGGTTGGCTTTGAACCATGATGCTCAGATCTCAGCCTGCTGAATAGCTAGGATTACAAGCATGAGCCACCCACTCATTATCATAATAATAATAATCAGAATTGTGATATTATAATAATGATAATAAATAGCAGAGACAAAGGAATAAGGCTTTAAATTTCACACTAATACTATTGCTTATAGTATTGAGAACACAGAATAGACAAAACCCACAATAGGTACTTTTTTATTAGAAAGGTATTAACTGTACTCATTAGAGAGTACAAAAGGAAATTAACTTTCAATTCTAGGACAAATTCACAGTAAGAGATTAGATTTCAAAGGGAATTTGGGGAATTCTGACAGTATTTCTCAAATTTGCTTCCTTTTCCAGATATACTTCTGGGGAAAGTCCTACAAGGATATTTTGATAACCTTACATTTCATATTTTAATTTTTCTGGTATTCTAAATGAATTCATACTGTTTTTCAGAATTATTTATACAGCCATCCTCTATCCACAATATTGCTATGCATTTGCTCTATCATGTTTGTCCACATATCTCCAGTGGTGGAGGACCAATCACGCTTTACTTCTACATACAGTTTCTCAAACTGGTTCCTCAAATGCTATCTCAAATGATAGCTAGAGATGGTAAGATTGAGAACATTAGCTCAGAGAAGTAATTCTCAAGGTGAGATGAGGAAGATGCATGTGTATACTTTGAGAAAAATAAATCATAATATCCATCAATTTCATAATATAAACTGCATGGAGTGAATTTTAGCAAAATAATTTCAGCTGATGGCCAGTAGGAGAAAATCAACCATAAATTCATTCTTGGTGTGGGGGGAGGTAGGAGGACGGATTTCTGGATAAACATGATTGGGGGTAGAGGCATGCTGGCACATAGAAAAGTTTAAGAAGAAACATGTGGCAGAGAGAAAGAGCACTTTTCGGATCAGAGGACAAATTCTAAACCAGAACTTGACATGGTCTTTTGGAACCCAAGGGGCCAATATGGGAGAAAACCAACTAATCTGTCAACCTTCTTGGTTTGTGGGTAGGAGCAAGTTGGTCCAATTTTTAACACTGAGAAAAAAAAGGAAAACAAAGTTGGTTTTGCTTCAATTCCCATCCACCAGGAAATGCTGTCATCCTCTGTGATGTAGTCCAGCTCTCCAGGGGGATTTCAGCAAGAAGTCTGCTCTGCTAGGAAAGAAACAAAGAATGGGCCTTTTTAATAGGGTAAGCTTTCTCCATTTCTGCTCTTATCCCCAGAACATTTACTCTTGCCATTTAAACATACTTTGTTATAGATAGCCTTAGGTTGGGATTGTCAGTGACATACAGACAAGAGAGAATGCTGAGGAAAGATAATGCAATCAAACTTCCAGACTCTGAAGGTACCCAAGCCCACACCAAAATAATAAAGTGCAGTTGGGAAAATGATATTTCTTTTTTTCCCCCCAGTCTTCCCCTTAGTACTTCAGTTTGAATTTAGCAAACTGCAGGCTTACTGGGCTGGCCCAAGACCAAAAAGCCACACACCACACACTGTCACTGGTTATTTTTAGGATAGAGCTTCACTTCTCTCACAGGTGCCAGCCTGAGACCTACCTACTTTAGACTACCAGTCATTGCTGAAATCGTGTGCACTTACCACCACGTCTACCTTCTCTTAGCAGAGATGGTGTCTCTTGAACTTTATTTCCCAGGCTGGTTTGGGATCATGAGCTCCCAATCTCAGCCCCTCAAATAGCTTGGGATGATAGAAGCACCCAACCACAGGTTAGGAAGGGGTCTCAGGCACTTTTCTGCCTGGGATAGCCTTGAATAGAAATCTTCTGTTCACAACCTCCCAAGTAGCTAGGATTATAGGCAAAAGCCACCAGAACCCTGACATCTTTCTCTTTCTTTCCTCCCTTCCCTTCCTTTCTTCCCTTTCCTTTTTTTCCTTTTCTCCTCTCTCCTACTCTCCTCTCTTCCCCTCCTCTCTCTTCTCCTCATTCCATTTCTTCCCCTCCTTCCCTTCTTTTCCTTCCTTCTCCTCCCTCCCTCCCTCCTTCCCTCCCTCCCTTCCTTCCTTCCTTCCTATCTTTCTTCCTTCCTTCCTTCCTTCCTTCCTTCCTTCCTTCCTTCCTTCCTCTCTCCCTCTCCCTCCTTCTCTCTCCCTCTCTCTCTGTCTCTCTCTCTTTCTCTTTTCTCTTTCTGACTTTCTTTCACCAGTCCTGGGGCTTAAACTCAGGACCTGGGCAGTGTCTGAACATTTTTGCTCAAAGTTAGCTTTACCACTTGAGTCACTTCTGGCTTCTTGGGTAGTATTGGAGGTAAGAGTCTCATAGACTTTTTTGCTCCATCTGGATTCAAACCATGATCCTCAGATCTCATTCTCCTGAGCTTAGATTACAGGTATGAACCACTGATGCCCAGCTATACTTAAATGTTTATTCCTTTATCAGCCCTCCAAAGCATCCTGATTTCTTTCTAAACAGCTCATCACCCCATGGTTTTCCACCAAGTCAAAGATTTTAGGTTACTGACTTTATAAAACTTTATTTGAGTGTTGCATAAGCCAATCAGATTGAGTTGATTTGCATGTGAACCCAGGAGAAACAAAAGTTACCTTGATCTCAAATTAAACTTAGAATAAATCCAAGTTGCTTACTATGGCCTCTGTGTACTGTGGGTCCTGCCTACATTTCTTATTTCTTTTTTTCAGTGCTTTTTCTTAGTCTGCCTTTCTTCTCCCCATCCCTTTGAGCACTCATTACTTGCCACATCTTTTTCTGGCTTTCTCCCCCTTGTTAAGCACGATCTTCTGGGCAAGTCTCTCCTTTACGAAACTAGCTCCTTTACTGTACTCCTCCTTCACCATGCTAGTTCAATATATTCTCAGGAATTATTTACATACTTCCTTATGATCTGTCTGCCTCTCCAGAATATGTGTTTCACATTATCCTTCTGTGTTAACTATGTATAATGTCTAGCATCATATAAATATTTGTTAAATGAATGTTGATAAAAAGGACTTCTCCCACTGACACAATTCATCCTTGGGTAAATATAAAATTCATGAACAAGTGATACCACAGTTCCTTGGATCATTCTTTTGACCCCCAAGATGCCTTCCCACAGTATAATCAAACCTGGCAGCAGACCCCAATGTTTTATTTCCCAGTGTTCCTGGCCCAGCATGTCACCTGTAATTACTGCAGAGCTCCCATATCCTTCAGCCTGGAGAAAAGTTCCCCATTCTGTTGCATAGTTTCTAGATCGCTGCATCCACCGATACAATCTTTACCAAAAAAGACCCGAGGAACCTGCAAAAGCAATGGAGTCCAGAAGAGATAAGGAACTTAATGATCAGATTAGAATGAGTGATATTTTAATCCTTCTTTCAAATTCTTCCCAGGATTCTAAATTGCTTGATAACCTTTTCTTCAATGTTTGAAGCCAGAATATTTTACAAATTGAGTATGCTTGGCATATGACTGTCCAACTTGCAAAAGAATTTAAAATTTTTACTATATAGAAACATGTTTCAGGAGAGAATTTTGATTGGCTACAGTCAGAGTACCCTGATTGCATTCTGGTTTTTCTCTGCAACTGGAACCACACCTGAGACCTTAAAACAGAGCCACAGCACCCAAGGAGGCATTCATTTCTAACCACAGCCAGGGAAACATTTGCATTTGGTCTTAGTCTGATCTTTAGGTCTGTGATTTATTAAATATAGTCACTTCTCTCTGTTATTGAAATAGAGGTGAATTTGGTTCTCTGTAGTGTGCAGTGGTATATGAGTCTCCTTGTTTAATCCCTGACCCATTGTAGGTTGTTTAAGTGTTCTAGCTCTAGGACAAGGATATTTCACCTGCTTTGGCTTCACATCTGCAAGGGTGGTTGAACCAAGGCAAGCCAGACTGCCACAGGCATTATGCTTGCCGAAAGGATGCCTCTCCAGTCATGTGCAGCCTACCCACTGCTAGGTCCAAGCATACATTCCAGAATCCCAGAGAGGAGGAGTGTGCTGCTCCATTGTGGCCCAGGCAGTTCCCTAGGGTGTTCACAGGAAGGTGGACTGGCAATGAGAAGTGCAGGTAGATCACCTGAGCCATAGGTAGGCAGCAGGCCCTCTCCCAAAACATTAGAAACTACCTGAGGAACCAGAAAGGGGAACGGCAGAAAACAGGAGCCTGGAATCTAAGGATTGTGGTTCAAAACCAACCTGGGTAGGAAAGTTCAATGAAACAGCAAAAAGCTAGAAGTGGAGCTGTGGCTCAAGTGGTAGAATGCTGGCTTTGAGCACAAAAGATAAGGGACAGCAGCCAGGCCTTCAGTTTAAGCTCCAGGACTGGCACCAAAAAACAACAAAAAATAACAGTCCCCTCCCTGCAACTAACAGTTTGGAGGCCTTTCAGCTTCTATTTCCCAGAAATACTTGACTGTGGTCAGTTGTAATAGAAAGCAGTAGAGAAACCCAATAAAATACTTAATTCAAGGTTACTGTATATTAATTGTACAAAGGGGTTTCATCACAATATTTCTATACATGCTTGATTACCTTTTCTTATTCCCTTTTTCAGTTTTAATGATTCCATTATTTTATTTCCAAACATACATCACAATCACCCCCCATTACCCTTTCCTTCTGCCATCAGTTGATTCTACCGCACAGTCCTGCTGTTGAGTATGGATGAATTAAATGAGCTTTAAATAATGAAGCCATGTCATTCATTTTTCAATGTCTCTATTTCCAAAAAGACCCAATGTTTGCCAGTTTTAAGCCTGTCATACCTCCACCAAGGTTTTGACCTCAGGGTTTGAGCTACTGTGTCTGGCTGGAAGCACGGAGAGTCAAAAGAGTCCCCTCCTGGGTGTAGGTTCCCCACTGGAGGACACTCCAGAATTGTGAAAGGGCTTATCGAACACAGATGTGCTCTCCCCTTTGGTTCTGAGTCAGGAGGTCTGGGTTGAGGCCAAGCAGTTTGTACATCTAACCAATTCCAGGTGTGCTGCTGCTATGCTGCTGTTGAAACAGGAAACACTGAAGTACTGGTGGTGATTCAGGCAGGAAGAGGAAAACCTCTCTGCCATCATAAACTCTATAGAGACCCTGTTTGCTACAGCCCAGGAAGGGAAAGAGCAGTCACTAAAAGATCCAGTTCTGCTATTCTGAGCCTGGATTCTCCTGGGGTGCATTTTCTCAGCCCCAGCAAGGCAACAGCCTCTGTGCTTTAGGTTAGTCATACACAGCTGCTCCAAGTTACATACCAACACTCTCCCTCAGCCACCTCCTTTGTCCCCTGAATTACTGCTACAGCCTCCTAATGGCTCCCAGTTTCAACCCCACCCTGGCCCTTATATAATCTCTTCCCACATCTTCTAAACTAACCCTAGCACATTCCTAGCACAGGACCTCTGTCCTTGCTGTTGCCACTGCCAGGCATATTTTACCTCTAAATGTATGTGTTCTTTTTTCCTTTGCTTCCTATAGAGGCCTACTTAAATATTTCCTTATCAGTGAGGCCTTGAGGGATATATCTTACTGTGTACTCCCCATATCCTATTTCTTACTTAATTTCTTTTTCTTTCTTTTTTTTTTTTTTTGGGTCCAGTCGTGGGGCCTGAACTCTGGGCCTGAGCACTGTCCCTCAGTTCTTCAGCTCAAGGCTAGCACTCTACCACTTGAGCCACAGCGCCACTTCCGGCTTTTTTCTTTTTGCTTATGTGGTGCTGAGGAATCGAACCCAGGGCTTCAGGCATGCAAGGCAAGCACTCTACCACTGAGCCACCTTCCCAGCCCTATTTTTCTTTTTCTGTTGGTCACAGGGCTTAAACTCAACCTGAGCCTTTTTGCTCAAGGCTAGTGCTCTACCGCTTTGAGCTGTCCCACCACTTCTGGTTTTCTGGAGATTAATTGGAGATAAGACTCTCACAGACTTTTTCATTTCTTACCTCAGCTGGCTTCAAACCAAGATCCTCAGATCTCTGCCTCCTGAGGAGCTAGTATTACAGGCATAAGCCACCAGTATTCTGGCTCCCTACTTAATTTTCCTCATGATATATGTTACTTGCCACCTCCCAGTATATTGCTTATTGCATTTATTGTTTTGATCATAAGACTATCAGCTTGAAACATAAATGTTATGTAGAAAAGTGCTTGCTACAGTATAGGTACAGTATAGGTGAAAGAAAAATAAACTTTTCCAGACAAAACTGGAGTGAATGTGTTCTAATAGACTTGCTTCAAAAGACTTCTTCAGGGATAAAAGAAATGATATAGGATAAGAACCTCAGTTCCCTTGGAGAAAGGAAGAGCAAAACAGAATAAATGAAAGCACTGATCTAGAAGCTGTGGCTTCTTAAGTTAATGGCCTGATTGAAGGAGTAAGTTCATCTGAACTCCGAGTGTATACACAAATCTGTAGTGATCTACAGATCATTACAGCAACAACCCTCTTGTTCCTTATCTCCTTCAAACAATTCACCATGGAGGATCAGGAAGCAAACAATGCTGAAGGATTTTTCTTCCACTTAAAGGAATGCATTTGGGCAGTAGAACTTGAGAAAGAATTTTAATTTAATTTAAAATAAACTTCAAAGGTAATGATAAAAATATTGTTGCTCTACAAATAAATTTAAAACAATGTTAAATAAATGCACGAAGTGCTTTATCTACTAGAAAACATGCTGTCAGTCTAAGCCATTTTTAAATAAGTTTTTTATTGTGAAAATCCTGTACAGAGGGGTTACAATTACATGAGCAAGGTAATGAGCATATTTCTTATCAAGCATTGTTGCCTCCTCCTTTGTTTTTCCCCTATCATCCCTTCCCTCCCATCTCCACAACTAAACTTTGTGGCAAACTGGAAGCCCTCAGGATATTCCAAAATATTCTGTCCTGGCTCCCATCTCTGACACCGTGAGGAACTTGTACTGGAGAACGAAGTAGACCAAAAGCTCTACAGGTGATTCTATTGGCCAGAAAACTGTGGCTGGGAGGGATCCCTGGTGGGAGGCAGAGCAGGGGCTCATAGTGGTGGTTGTAGTACCTTTTCCTTCTCAGGCCCCAGAATCTATATAGGAAGTCCACAAAGCAATTTTCCTGTAGTGCCTTTGCTCCAGGACCCTCAGCTCACAGCCTTTTTAAGTACTATGTGCTGACTTCTGATTGGACAGAAGAGGAGAGACAATTTCTAATTCTTTACACCCCAAACACAGAAATTCTGAAAGTCAAGCTAAAGCTGAAATATATGGGTCTGCCAATGCTGCGTCCTGATATGTGCCTTCTGAAAGGGACTTTCATCAAAGCTGGTGCAACATCTCATCCTTCCAGGTTCAGAAACTGCCTGGCGGGGGCTTCCCACAGAAGCCCAGGATGTTGAGAAAAGAGGAAGTGTGGGGGATGGGAGAGTGAACCTCTCACAGGCAGTAGTGAGCACTTTTCAGAGGGTTCCACAGTAAATTGTAGAAAGAATGACTTACTTGAAGGTCAGCCATTCTAGTCTTGTGGCTGGGGTCTTTGAGGATCCCAGAGGGGGTAACCTGTCTAAGATATATCCAGCAATTCATTGTGAAAGCTGGGCCAAAAAATTCTGGCAGGCCTTAAAAACATCCTATAATTAATGTAGAATAAAGGGCAAATAATGGGAGTGTTGGCTTTTTCAAGTGGGAGGAGTCCAATAAGGAAGAATGAGCAACAGATAAAGGTTATTGATAAAGAAAGCCCGCAAGCAAAGTCCATTTGGCCTCCAAAACTAGACTAAAGCGAGTGCATGATACCATACTGGATTTAAAGGAAATATGCAGCTCCTGCCAGACCTCTCCAATCCTCCTCGTGCCCTGCCAGCTACAAACTGTCAGTGGCAGTGCTTAAACAAAGCCTCTTGATACAGTGCTTGGGCGCTTGGCGACTCGCAGCTAAGCTGCTGGGTCTACTAACCTGACAGCACCCATCCACTTGGCTTTCTCCTCCGTTCTGAGACAACTCTGGTGGCTGCAAACCAGCTGCCCATTCAAGTGATAGGCCCCTCCCCCACACCCTACAAAAGCCCTCAGGATGTCTTGGAGGACAGAGCCCTGGTGGCGTCCCAGAAAAGACGCAGGCATAAAGTCACAGCCCTAGGAAGAAAAAGAAACCCGGGAGCCCTTTTCTTGCCCGTTCAAACGAAGCACACTCACCGTCCTGGCGCCTGTAAGCTGTTGCAGATAATCTTGAATCTCGCTCATGTTGCTGGTGGCTGTGATATCCACAAATTCTAAGAGCCCTTGTTTGAAGGGCAATTGATGGAGGATCTCTTTGGTCTTTCTGCAGTAGGGGCAGCTAGGCTTCATAAACACAACCACCTTCCCAGGATGGATTTTGCTGTTCACAAACTCTTGAGCCATGCTGACAGACTGCAGCCTCCCGGGGAGGAATCCTGGGTTGCAGGTATTGCTGGGGGTGCTGAACGGCCCAGACAGCTGGCTCTCATTTAATAAGCAACCTCCTTGGAGGAGGAGTTTGCCTGGTAGCGTGCTTGAGTTTTAAAGGGACAGTCCCAAAGTCCTTTCAGTCTGGTGTGATTCACTAGTTAGGCGAGCCTAAGCAGGCACACCTGCTGTTTAATCAGTGATAGTAAGGGCCAGATTGGCTTAGTTGTTGTCTCCTCCCCCCCCCCCCTCCGCCCCTCATCCGAAGCACTTGCCCTTCCGCTTGAATCAGAATTAGGTCATCTCTGGGGAAGCATGGGGTAGACAAGACCAGCCTCAGGAAGGACCCCAGGAGACAGTGACCTTTTAAAGAAAGAAAAGAAGTTTCCCCTCTGAGAGATGAAGTTGGCTTCTAAAAATGTAGACACAAGCAACTGCTTGGCATCTCTTCAGAGCAAGCAGACTGAAGTGGTGACTTGGCACTGTGTGGAGTGCATTCCCAGGGTGCTTTGCTTTGCCCATGCAGTGGGTGTTTGTGGATGGTGGTAATGTTAATGGAATCAGTTCTTGGACTTTAAAATATGGGAATCTGGACTTGGAATTTCTCTCTGTCAAGTCAGGTGGGCCAGTGCTAAGTTGCTTTCAGTGAGAGCAGTTATGGCTGACTTGGGTTCTTTATCTTGTGAACAAGCAGATTTAGCCTTAAGTTTTCCCAGACCCTACTTCCTGGCAGGATATGCCTTTAACACCTCTGTTTCATTCTGAAAGCATTTGAGTTCATGACCCCTTGAAGGACAAAAATTCCCATTCAACCTCTGACTTCCAGTTTCAGGTAGAATTGAGGGAATTTTCTGTGGGACTTTGTGATCCTTTGCTTCCACTGTTAATGAGTGAAGTAGTGTGATGATTTAGCTACTATCTTCAGGTGTTATAAGACACAAGACAAAGGGTACATTAAAAAGGGGGGGACAAAAGTGACTAAAACAAAGGGGTGGGGAAAAGAACTGCAAACAGAACTATTTTTTTTTTAAAAACCTCTTGTTTCCACTTCTTGAAGTTCATTTCAATAAACATATTTTTATATAATCATATTCACATAGCTGTTGAGCCCTTGTGATCCTCTTCTAAGAATATACTTCATTGGTCTTACTATGTGATTGAATGTTCAGAGTGCTGTTTAATCACGTTCAAGTATAATTTTTGTCTTTTCTTATCCATTGGGTTTACTTGTGGATTTAGAGGCACATTCTAATTGTTGCAAATGAGGGAAACCATGAAGCCTATGTTTCTTTGGGCCTGGCATACTTCACTTAATATAATTTTTTCCAAGGCTTTCCATTTCCTTAACAAATTTCCTTTCTGATGAAAGCATAGAATTCCATTGTGTATATATACCACATTTTATTGGTCCATTTATCCACTGACGGACATCTGGGTTGATTTCATATCTTAGCTATGGTAAAAAAAAATGCTGCAATGATCATTGTTAGGAAAATGGAGGAGAAAGGAAGGAAATAGGCCAGGCTCAACCTTCCATCAGCAAGCATTGTTTATTGAGATGTGACACGGGAGAACACAGCCTTCCTGTGGACAGGAGATGGGCTCAGGAATGGGGTTTAATGAGGTCTGAGCAAGGAGGCAAAGGTTAATGAAAAAGCCATTACATCTAGGGAGGTGAGGGGCTTTTCAGTTGGGCCCATGATGGACTATTTACAGCCAGGCTTATGCAGAATGCCCTTCTGGCGTCAGGCAGTCTGCACTTACCTTTGCTGGCTTGTCTGGTGTCTGTGTGCACCTGGGAAAACAGACTGAGGGTCAGTCCTTCAAACATGGTGTGCTGGTAGCTTTAGTGTGTCCTGGTTTGTGGTCATTTGGGTAAATACCCAGGTGTGGGATTGCTGGGTCATAGGGAAGCTCTATGTAGAAACATTTTTTTTTCCTGTGAATCTAATTGTTGCTAAAATTAAAGTGGTAAAATAATAAATGGTCAGGTTCTGGGCAACAGAGGAAGCTGGAAAGAACTCTATAAAAAAACCAAGAAATGTAATAGGGCTAGTCTACCTTTGGGCTCAATGTTTCCTCCAGATCAAGCTCAGTGATGGGGTCTATGTTTTGCATTTTCTCTTTCCTTCATTTCAGATCCCTTTGTCCAGTCTCCTCCCAGAGGCCTACCTGAGTCCCCAACGGGTCCCTCTTGTTCCCAACACCCAGAGTTCATCAGCATGCTTGCTCTGTTCCCTCAGATGCCTTCCCTTTTAGGTTGTTTTCATTCCATTTCTCTTTTCTCTGAATATGTTCAACTCACTTCTTTGTTAAAAGCCACTACTGCTGTCTTCCCTTTCTTGCTAGTCTTCCTCTGTCCCTTCCTGACACTTGGTGTTTGCAGTTTGGAATTGTTTTCACTCACCTTCTCTTCTTTCCTCTTGTTGTAATCTGACCTCCTTATCAACCACTCCTCTGCATTGCTAAATCACCTTGTAGCTAGCTAGCCTGACTGGGTTTAACCCAGAAGCCTGGGTGTGGAGTCTTTGGGGAACTGGTAGCATTTATCTCCCAAAGGACTGGTCACACAGGATTGGGTACCCACACAAACTGCAAGTAGATTGAGGATGTTTTTCTATAGGGTTGTGACCCTGTGTTCTTACTGCTTGTGAATGGAGGTAGGGGAACTACTTCAGCTACCTTTTTCCCCTTATTTTCAGGGCAGACCTTAGACCAAGGGGACCTCTGTTGTCTACCCCACAGCTCAGCCTCAAGGACTGGTGTCTGAAGTCATGGGACAGACAGATGGTCACCAGGCATGGGCAGAAGAAGATGTTTGTGTGAGACACAGAGTGAGACATGGGAGAGAAACAGATGAAATGGCAAAGTGGGAGTGTGCTATTTCTCAGTAAATGCCAAGGCTTCAGTCAGTGAAAAATTCAAGGCCAGGATTCTCTGCTGTATTGGCATGTCGGCTTGTGGCTTTGGCAGAGATCAGCAGAGACCGCAGGCATTTAAGTGGGGAGTAGAAGTGGGGGGCTGTTGGGAGACCTGTCCTCAAGATCTGTGGACACAAAGAGGGTATGTGTGTATGTGGAAGAGCACATGAGGGTCTCCATGGAGTCATGTGAGGACCCCCTTCCCCTGTGTCCTTCCTGAAACAGTGCGATTTGAGGGTATTTCTTTAGGGGAAAAGCAGGTCTGGTATGCAGATGGTTGGCAGCAAGCTAGTGATGGATGGGAATGATGTTGCTGTTACCATGATCTCATTTGTACACACAGGCTGACAAGGGCTATAAAAATTTGGCTACAAAAGAGCATTTCTCAAGCTTTTCTCTTAGTTGTTCATTTTCCAGGATTTGATGTTGTTTATCATGTTTCCCTTCCAGAAGCCCACTTTTTCTCAATGCCAATGGCAGCTGGATTACTTGATTCTTTGTATGATCCTCTGCCATCATGTCTCTTGGGATGAGTTTCTGTACACATTTGGTATCTCTTGAAGATGTATCTTCTCACACCGAGTGCTTCCCACCCCCCCTGAAGATCTTATCTCCACATGTGGTCCCAGCAATCATCTTTTTGCATTTGCTGATGAATATCACATTCAGTTTTCTTGTTTGCGCCTCTCTCTCAAGCCTCCCACCAATATATTATCACCTGCTGAGAACACTTACATAGAGCAAGTCTCTCAGCCTTCCTGGGACCACACTGAAGTCATCCTCCTTTCTCTCTTATACCTGCTCATCCTCCTGAATGTGTCATCATTAATCCTATTGGCCAGAAATCTGTAGGCTTCTTTACTACCCTCTGCTTTTACACTGTGGCCAAGCCTCCCAGGTTTGCCTCCTAACTCTCCCCTCTGCCCAAATGTCTGGCTATTAATGTAGGTCCTGCCCTTACTCAATCACCTTAGCCTCACCCCCCATCCACCCTGCTGCTGGACAATCCTTAAAGACACAAAAGCTGGCCAGTTCTCTCTTTTTCTTAAAAGACATCCAGGTTTCTTTAGCATCAAATTCAGATTCCCCTGAGGGATATGACCCCGTATGACAAGACCTCCCAATGTCCTTTGCTACACTCCTGCTCTTTCTCCCATTTCTCCTTTCCCCCAGTCAAATGGACTCTGTGCTGTTATCAAACTTACGCCTCTTGCATCTTCACTGAGTGTGACCTGCTGCCCCAGGCCAAGGATGCTACTCCTTCCTATTTCTGTGTGGCTAAGTTATGCTGCTCCAACAGGACCAAACACAGGTTTGGTCTGGGTTCTAGGTTCTCTGCCCTGACTTACCATGTGTTGTTTGCCTAAATGAACTTTCTGCCATGTATAGTGGGTTCCTTGAATACAGGGACAGATGATTTAATCCTTTCATTATCAGAGTCCAGGAGATGATCTGATAGATATAGGTTTTGGTCCTTCTATCTGTGTACCCATTCAATGAATATTTATTAATCAACCAGTGTGGGCCAGATACACACATGCTCAAAGAATGTCCCAGTGCTTGGAAAGTCCTAGTATAATGAGGGATACAGCTGTGGAAAATGGATTCTAAGTGCTATAGTTGAGCTACATATGGACCTCAAATGAAAATGGCCAATCCACCTTAAAGGTAGTTAAGGAAAGCATTCATAGCAAAAAGAGTTGAATCCTGAACCATAAGAAGTACATTAAGCATGGATAGTTAAATGTCCAGTCAACTAAAGACTATGTCACATCTTATGGTCATATGGTGAGTTAAATGGTAAATTGCTAAATTATTATGCACTGATTATATGCCAGAATCAGTGCTGACAGCTTTATATAGGTCATTTCTAAGCCTTATCACAACTTTAAAAGATGGATATTATTGAATCCCAAACTGACTAGAGGAATAAGGAAATGACCTCTAACATGTAGGACATGAAATTCAACTAAGATCAGGAATATCAAGTGCTTCCTAACAGGCTCTGTCTTATATTCTTTTCATTTGGACAGTGCCTATTTTTCCACTCTTGTGTGTGTGTGTGTGTGTGTGTGTGTGTGGTGACACTGACATTTGAACTTGGGGCTTGCTAGTGCTCTACCACTTAAGTCATGTTTCTAGCCCTGTTTCTTGTTG